TCCCTGGGCAAAGGAGGGGTGTGGGCAGGTGATGTTGAAAATTTACACCTGGTTGTCCATTGCCTCCTGCTTACAGACCCCTGAGGTATGGACTTTAGAATCACAGAATCATGGAATGGTTTAGGTTGGAGGGACCCTTCAAGACCATCTCATTTCACCACCCTGCCATGAGCAGGAACACTTTTCCTTTAGACCAGGTTGCTCCAACCTGACCTTGAACATTTCCAGGGATAGAGAGTCCACAATCTTTCTAAACAACCTGTGCCGGTGCTTCACTAAGGGCTCTTCATTTTCTGCATCCCACTAAGGTCAGGCCACGATTCCAGGACAGTAGGGAAGAAGGATGATACCCCATGGCACCACCCTTGGTGCTGAGACTCTATGACAGAGGAGGTGATGCATTTGTTGATTGGTGAACGTTTCTCTCCAAGCACATCACTTGGCTGTGCAAGTCTGGCTGTGGAAAAGTTCCATTTTCCATTTCCAGTTAAATTTTGAGGGGTTTTCCAAACTTGCAGCCACCTTTCTTGTGCCAGTCCCATAGAAGTGAAGCAGTCCTTGTCCTGTTTCCATATGACTCCCAGGAGGTTTTTTTTGCTGGACTCTATAAAATGTTGCAAAACCATCCCAGTCTCTATTAGCAAGGGAGAAGGAATGATAACAAAAATGTTCCCCTAAATCCCAGTACTTGGGTGAAAACCAGGAAAGGGTGAACAGACTGTGCAGCTCATTTTTTGTAAGTATTAGGAAAAATTGGAAAGGGCAGTGACGTGGCATTGGTGTGAATTCCCAGCAGGCTGGGGTTTGGGGTTGTCTGGGTTTTCCTGAAGCCTTTTTCAGGCTGTCAGGATTGTAAAATACAAACCTGGCTGGATCAAAATGGGATTGGGGGAATGGCTGCTCTCTGGGATTTGTTTAGGGACTTTTTTTCCCCAGTATCCAGTCACCAGCTTTTTCAGTCTTCTCCATCCAGCTACCTCTTCTTCTTCATTTTTACCTCAAATCAAAATGGTGCAATTAAAAGGGTCCACGGAGTGCATTCCTGAGGACTGAATCCCAGGATCCAGGAGCAGATAGCAGCAGCATAAAGAGGAATTCTTCCCTCTCTGGCCTCATGCTGCTTTTCCACCACCAGGCTTTACAGCCATCTGGATCCCCTTTCAGATTATGCCCCCCCTCCCAAAAATCCATAACCTAGCAACCTTATTTAGTGCAAACGAGATCATTCTGCCTTCCTGTTCCCAAATTGTGCTTGGCTCCTCTGACTGCCTTGATAGGATGGCTGCTGGCAGCTGTGATCCCATCACTGGTCCAGGGTGCAGGCTCATCTCCAGCAGGATTTCGTAGGATTATTGATCAGTGTGTGTTGCACTGATTATTATTTTTTTCCTCATTAAAGGAGCTTAGGAAATGAGTGGGGAAAAAAAAAGTTTCAGGAAGTTGTTTATCCATCTGCTTCTTAATATTAGAGTGGAGAGGGCAATTCGCTCCTTGGCTCTGTGGAAAGTGATTGGTTTTGGTTCAGCCTGAAGATGACTTGATCAAAGTGGGATTATTTTTTTTCTTCCAGATGTGATATTTTGGGAATCCCCATTGCTTCCCACAGCTCTGTCTCATCACCCGGGAATTTTCAAATTCCCTGGAGTGTTTAACACCAATTTCTGTGTTCTGACCCCTCAGCTGTGTAGGCTGAGTGTTTCCCATGGATTTTCCAATTTGCATTCCCCAAGGAACCTGTTTGTTGGGGAATACTGCAAATGAGGAAAAGCAACCACAAATGAAGGTGGGAGATTATTCCCACTTGTCTGTGCTCTCATTGCTCTTTTTGGGCTAAAATACACCTGAATTTAATAATGTGTGTCCCACCACCATCAGCCCATAATGGGAAGAGGTTGCTCCTGCCTTTTCTTTTCACCTCAAGAGTACAAAGAGGGCTTGGGGCAGGAGGAGGCAGCAGCACATCCTTTCCCACCACACTTTTGGGAGGAAGAATGAGCTCACCAGGTTGTGACGTTGGAGCTGCATGCCAGGAAAAGGGGGGGGGGGGGAATAATTACAAATCCCCAAGGCCAAAGGGGAAAAATTCCTCAAGTGTTATTTCATCTCCGAGCAGTGAGTTGAGCTGTCCTTGGGCAGCTCGTGTGAGCCTTTCTAAGAGAGGCACTGCCAGCTCTGCTTCGAACCCTCCTGGGAAGTGATTCCCAGCTCTCATTCCTGATGGGACCTCAAGGAGGGCTCTCCTCCAAACTCTGCTTCCCCCTCCTCCAGACTGTATTAAATGGCGCTATTGATCTTATTTTTTTTTCTATTTATTTTTGCCTGTTTCCTGGAACTTGCAAAATCAGCCCTGGGCAAACCTCTGGTTTACTTTTCCAACAGCGCTGGGAGAAAGAAACTTGACTTTACAGTGGGTGATGGGAGCTGCAGCTAACCCATTTCTGCACGTTTCTCTGCCAGTGGTAACAAAAACATTTTCCTACTTAAAGGTTCTCTTCAGTTTTAAAGTTGTGGGATTAATTGTTCCTTAAACTGTCTGGAATCAGAAGGACTTGTTGGAAATTGCAGCAGTACGGTCGTGCTGCCGGATGTTGCTTTCCTTAGACTTTCCTATTTTTTTCCAACTGCTTTGTCGTGTTGTCACATCACTTTCTGTGTCCCCTTCCCAGAGGCAATGGAGAGGGTTAAGGTTTGTTTTTGGTGTCAGCCAGCTGGGGAACACAGCCAGGAAATTTCCTGATTCCAATTCAAAAAAAGCATCGGATCCGCTCTCAGGGAGGAGGGATCAAAGGTCCGAAGTGCTTTGTGCTTGGAGGTCAGTTTGGTTCCTTGGATGTCCAGGCACAGAACAAAAACCCCCCACCACCCCCAAGCCTGCAGGCAGCCAAAATGGGTGAAACAAGTGGGTTTTTGTATTGTTTGACACCCAGAAGTTCTTTCTGTTGCTCTGATGGTGCCACATCACCCCAGCCAAGCTTTGCTTGATCCTGGTACAACTCTGCCTGTGGTGTGAGGGACCTGTTGGGATGTTCCCTCTTCCCAGCACATTAATCCCACTAATCAATAACCCTGCCAAGCCTTGCTCCATCCCTCACGCTCCTCCATTCCCTGCCAGGTTTGTGGAGTGAAGGATCTGGGCCAGGTTGGATGCTCAGAGCTGGCGCTGGATGTGGCAATCCCGTGGTAGCATCGTAGCTCTTTGAAATTGCATCATGCCAAGAGTTTTTGTTTTCCCCCCATGCTCAATCCCGTTGTTCCATGGTTTTGGACAGCAAAGGCCATCCCTCCTGGCTGGAGCAGCACTGAGTTTTCCCCCCACTCCATGCCAGGCAAAGGTGATGCAGCTGTGTGGCACCTCTGGGGCGCTGGCAGTGCTGGTTTGGGGTTGGCTCTGCAGCCGCCTGTGATTTTCCCATCGCCACACTGCAGATCCTGGCGCTGGACCAGCTCCAGAGACAGAGCTGAAGGAAATTCCTTCCAGCTGCTTGAGGTCAGGGCTTCACTTTGCTTTTGGGGTGCACGAGGGGGATTTTTTGCCTGTAAGTTAAATGAGGGCGTCTCTGGCTGCTGCTTCTTAACACCTCGAAGAATCTTTTTCTTTTAAATATTATCCCGTTAGTCATAGCCATTAAATAACCTTCCTCTTGTAGAATCAGTCCATGGAAGAATACCCTGCTTTGCAACACAGCTTGGGCTGTTTCAGAAAGGTCTTGTCAGCTGCTCCCAGTTTAACTTTCAACCGAGTTAATAACGCTTTTGGTTAAACCTGTCTGAAACACGTTGCGAAACGCCTTTGAAACTCGAGACGCCGTTCACGCCCGCTTGAAACCTTTCCCATCGATAAAATATTTCAGCCTGGAGTTTGGCCACGGCTTAGCAATTCGCTTTTCCCTGAGATTGGTGATTTCAAGCCAGCCTGTGTCTGGCTCTGCTGGGTGTTTGGAGCTCAGTGTTTCCTGGAGATAGGTTGGCTTTGGCAGCCTGGCCAGTGGGATGCCCAGACCACCAGCTCCATCCAGTTTCCCCAGGTAATGGCTGAGGAGATTCAGTCTGAGTTTGCTTTGAACCCCTGTGGAGAAAGTTGTTTGTCTTGAAAACATAAAGTAAATTCCTCTAAAAACAGGAGTTTATTTACAACAGCAGAGGCAAAAGCCACTGCTCCACCCAGCATGTGGACTGTATTTAGGTGTGATGATGCACAGCACATGCATGGCCTCTTTATGCACTGATGTTATAAATAAGTAATAATAAAATTTTTTAGAAAAGGACAAGGAGCTCCTTTTCATAAGTAAAACCTCAAGAAGGAGCACACAGTTCTAATGCATGTGGTAAAGCAGCAGGAAAGCAAAAATCTGCAGCTTTCAGCCCATGGCTTTGCTTAAAGTGTCATTCCTGGTGTCACCCCCTGGCTTCAGGGACCACAGCTCTGCCTCGCTCCCCCTCCTCCTCCCTGCATCAGTTTCTCTACCTATGAGAAGTCAATTGCATCCTTTATTAATCGCTGTGAGATCTCCTGAGGAACGCTCTGGGTATTAAGGGCTTGCTGTGGTTCTAATGGGGATCAGTTTGGGACGCGGCTTGGTGAGGTTTACCTTTGACAGCCCAGCTGTAATCAAAGCCTTGCCACGCAGGAGCGCTGACCTGTGACACTCAGTTCCCTGGCTGCTCGATGGGCCATTAACCAGCACTTGGCTTTTAATTAAAGCTGGGTTTTGTCCTCCTTGGAGAAAACGTCGATGTGCTTGGCCCGACGATGCTGAGTCATTGGAGAGTGTAAGGAAGGAAATGTGGAGCTCAAGTTGTTCTGCCATTTGTGGTTCTCTGCAGCCCAGGACACCACTGATCGTTGTTACTTTTCATAGAATCGTGGAATGGTTTGGGTTGGAAGGGACCTTAAAGACCATCCAGTTCCATTCCCCTGCCATGGGCAGGGACACCTTCCCAGGACACTATCCCAGGTTGCTCCAAGCCCCATCCAAGCTGGTCTTGAGCACTTCCAGGGATGGGACAGACACAGTTTCTCTGGATAACCTGTGCCAGTGCCCCCTTTTCTATGTGTAGCCTGTGTCCCCCATCTCGGGGGTTTTTGAGACCTACTGGGGACCATGGATGCCCAACAAGCATCATCTCCCTGCTCTGAGATGCCTTGACCACGGAGAGAGCAACAGGGAGGCTTTTGTTCTGCACCAGAAACTTTTCATCCTTCTTTATGACTGCTTTTTTATTTCTTTTGGCTGTGCCCTTGCAAATCTGAAGCAGTTTAAAATACAGTTCCTCCCCCCTACTCCCCTTAAAAAAAAAAAAAACAACCCCAAAGCTTGGCTGCTTGAAATCATCAGATTTCACTGGAGTCCTTTAAAGTTAACAGTTTCCTGGATCCTGGGCAGACTAACTGATTCTTCCCCTTTAACCTCCGTGTTTTTTGCTGTAACGTTTCTCAGCTGTTGCAGCAGGAGGGAGGGAGGAAGGACCAGGGCAGCTCCAATGTGGAGAAGGTTATTTCACACAGGGGTTGGATGAGTCTGGTGTGGGATTTCCACCACAGGAGACAGAAGGGTTGTCCCCAGCAGTCTGAGTCCCCACGACATGGCTAGCAGGTAGGTCATGGCTGCGTTTGTGACACTCTTTTGGGGCAAAATATTAGGGAAATGGTTCCATTGGAAGAGGATAGTGGGATGCTGGGGGTTGGTCTGAGCTTTGTTTCTGCTGACTGTTTATTTGCCGAGGGCTGTGATGGTTTCTAGCTGTGCTCGTGGATGTGGGGACTGGCGCAAGAGCAGCACAGCTCAGCTGCATACGAGCATGAGGAATTTTTCTGGCTTGAATTTGCTGCCCCAAAAGCAGCCTTGGATGTTCCGTACTCACGCAATCTCTTAGTGGGGCTGCTGAGAAGAGCATCACAAGTTAAAAGAGTTGGAAAGAAAAGCAGCAGTCCAGTGCTGGTTGGTTTTGTTGCCTATCCTCCAAGAATTGTCTCTCCTTCCTTGCAAAAGGTCACCTGGAGCTTTCCCAGACAGAGGAGGTTTCTCTCGGGCAGTTGAGGAGCTGGAGGCAGCCAGCCTTGGCCAGAGGCAGTGATTATCAACACGAGCCCGAGGGCGAGGTGGGGCAGCGCCCTCCGGCTGAAACATCCTCATGCCACGAGCCCCGAGCGTGACCGAGGGGAGCCCTGAACCGTCCCAAACCCCTCTGACCCAGCGGGACCGAAACCCAAAGCCAGCCCTGAGCTGCGCATTAACCCCGCCGGAGCTGGGAACAAAGGTTTGGGGGCTGGATTGAGCTTTTGAAAATTTATTTGCAAAGCAAACCAGCTCAGCTGAGCGGAACAGGCTTCGGTGGAGGAGTGTGAGCTGGGTGGTTGCTGGGCTATAAAATCCCATCCCCACCAGCGCTGGCAGGGGGATGTGCCGGCTCCCTGAGCTCTCCAAGTGTTTCCACGTTGGCCGGGAGAGGTTCTGAACATGCGTGTTGGTCTCTGGAGGCTTTAATCAAATCCAGGCTTTACCAGAAATCGCCTGGAAACTTCCAGCGAGCTGAGGAAACTGAAAGCAGCCGGAGCAAGGAGGCTCCCGGGCAGGGGTTTGGGGCTGGCAGGGATGTTGCCTTCAGCAAGGGGATAGTCCCGGTGAGGCAGGCGGGAGGAGAGGTGAGTCTGCTCCCCGTGGGAAGCCAGAGGCAAGCCCACAGGGTTGGGGTAAAAAGGGACCTCAAGGGGGAAAGGAGACTGGGGACTGAGGATGCTGCTTGGAGGGACGCTCAGAGAACATTTGGATTTTGGAGCATCGCTCCCTGGCATGTGTGGGTTCAGATCCCGTGGTTTCCCCACTGTCTTCCCACCCTGTGCAAAATGAGGAGCTGTGCAATTACTGCGCCGTGGAAAACTCCCCGCTCCAGGGGAGGGTTTTGTTATCCCTTGGTGATTTTATTTGGGAAACAGGGCTCAGGCTGCAGGTACTTTCCTTCCTTGTAAAACTTCTTCACACGTTGCTCTCCCGTGGGCAGAAGGGAAAATAAGATGTATTTTTTACTTCCTTTTCTAAGCTGGGGGCAGGGGAACTTTATGCGTGGCCAGCAACGGTTGTGATCATCCGAGGGCGAACGGTTCAGAGAATTATAGGAAGATAAGAGATAATAAGTAAGTGCAATTAAAGTCCTGGGGGAGAGGATTTGCTGAAGTCATTATCCCAGGCAGCTGCTCAGGGTTTAATTGGGGCTCTCCAAGGGGAGGGAGGTTTTGGTCACGGGTCCCAGACGTGGGATATGACAGCCAAAATTGCCTCTTCTCTTGACTGCTGCTCACTGGTGCCTCGGGGCTTTCCTGGGGGGAAGGAGCCTGGGGCTATGCTGAGGAGTAAAGCTGAAACCTGCACAAGTGCTCTTAAACCACCAAACCTGAGTCTCAGATGGGAAAAACAAATCCTCCTTTACAGAGTCCAGAGTCTCTCCACAATTTCCCTCAGCTGCGCTGCTGTGTCCTGGGAATATCCTTGTCCTCTTCATCTTTGATGATTTTGGTGGGTGATTTCTTTGGAATGAGGAGTCAGTCTTAGAAACCACTGGGAGGGGAAGGCAAGCTTGACTTGCTCCAAGGTTTCCTGGCTGCTTTCAGTGTTTTTACCAAGTTTCTGGGGGGTTTGAGGGACTGCTGGCTGCAGCTGGGGCTGCTTGGATGCAATTCCTGCCCTCCATCTCTTCCAGTGTTTAACTTGAAGGATGATATGTTGAAGGACGAGAGCTTGAGGAGTGGGAGAAGGAAAATCCCATCCCCAGTTGATCCAGCCCTGCTTTGTTTTCAGGGTTACCAAGATGGGAGCTTGGTTTTGGGCAAGGAGGAAGGGATGAATAAAAGTCATCTCCAGCCCCCTCCACATCCATTTCCACTGGTCTGCAAAGTGCATCCCTAAGGAATGTCACATCCATGTGTTTTCTCTCTGTCTCCACAGCCTACCCATGAGCTCAGACTTCCAGCATTACAGTTTCAGGATGCCTAACATCGGGTTCCAGAACCTTCCTCTCAACATATACATCGTGGTTTTCGGCACAGCCATTTTCGTCTTCATCCTCAGTTTGCTCTTCTGTTGCTACTTGATTAGGTAAGGCAATGTTGTAAGGGAATGTTCCCCAAGAGTTTCCCTGCTTCCAGGCCCTTCACTGATCCCTCCATCCCAAAAAGAGGATGGCAGCACCTTATTTCCTTGGCAGCACCAATTTCCTTGACATGTCTTATGTCTGTGTAATCCTCCACAAAGCAGTCACGTTATCCACTTAAAACCAGGAGATACACATTTGCTAAAAAAGGTGTGGAATTGTGATCAGCTTCTCAAAAAAAAAAAAAAACTGGAAAGGGATGTTTTATGGTCCCTACTTTCTGCTTAATGTTTCAACACATTTCCCTCTGTAATGAGTAACTTGTGTCCTGCGTGCCTAAGGAATGTTTAATACCTGCTCCATTGGTTATTGAACACAAATTGCTCCTTCAACAGCACAGTTTGGAGATTAATGATGCAGAGTTGATGTGCTAATCTGAGCAAAGGGGGAACAGGATGGCAGGGTTAAAGGTTGTTCCAGTTTGGGGCTTGTTTTAATTATTTTATGGGCCATTGGGGAGATTGTTGGGCTGTTAATTGAGAGGAGAAACTCTTCCTGACAGAGGGAAAATGAAGTAAGTGGGGAAAAAACGCAGTGCCTGAGAATTGAGGTGGTGATGGAGAGGAGTTGTGCTGATAACCCAAGATGGGGGGCTGGCTGTGCTTCAGCTTGTGCCTGGGAGCAGAGGTCATCACTCTGCCAGCAGTGGCAGCCAAAATTCTGCATTCCCAGAGCTCTCCTCTCCAGCTTTTCCATCCCTTTTCCTTCCCCTCTGTCTTTCCAGCTGGCCATAGGTCCCTGCAAAGCTGTGCATCCATCACAACCTTTCCCTGTGTTCCTGTAAAACAGGTGCCCATTCTCTCCTTGCACCACAGCAGCCAGTCCCACCAGGTTAAAAATATTTTATACTGCTCTTGTAGACCAGGGAAGCAAGATTTCAACGTCAACCTTCTAAATACTTGATAATTTCCACCCATTTTCCATTGTGTGTGAAGCAAAATCTCATAAAACATGCAGATGAGCCCAAACCCAGGTTTATCAAGGGGTGATTTGGGCTGCTTGGGCATCATATCTTAATTTTTTTCCCCACAATTATGAAAACTGTGTTTTGAAGGTGTATGAAAATAGACCAGGGGTGTTCAGAGGTCTCAAGGACTTGTTTTGCTCAGGTGCAGCTTGAATCTATATGGCTCACTTAGAAAATTGAAGAAATGTTTGGACTTAGCGAGTGCCCAGGAAAATATTCTCAGGGTGTGTTATGCCCCAAAGAAGGAATAACAAGGAGTAATGTCTGGAAGGTCAAGCCAGAAAACCTTTAAATTTAGAAGCTGGAGGCGTGTTGTAAGAGAGAGAGGGTGAGTAACCGGTGAGAGAAGCCAGCAAGGAAGTGGCAAGTCCTCTGTCTCTTCACGTCTTTAAATCAAGACCGAGGACCTTTCTGGACGAGACGTTTTGGCTCCTGTTCCCCAGATGCTATTTAGCAACCCATGATAGATGGGGAGTTGGATTAGGTCATCCAGTGATCCCTTTATAGCCCAAAACCCTAGAGAGACTCTACTCTACTCTTCAGACGTCCTCCCTCAGCTCTTTTATTGGCAGAACAGAACCAAAATAGGATCCTGCAGCCCCCATTGGGGAGGGTTTCAGCTGTGCCACTGTCCCAGGAACATCCACCTCCACGGAAGCTGCTCTGTAATCTCAGCTCGTCTGGGATATAAAAGTCTGAGTTTTGGTGGGGTTTGGGAAGCACTGTAGGTGGACAACAGGATGAGGACCACCCACCTGCAAGGGCAGAGAGACCAATAGAAGGACAGGGTGGTCCCCTCCAGAGCTCCAGGGCTCTGCTTCCATCTGTGGGATGGAACAGTAGCTCCTGACTTTCCCTTAGGTGCAGCATCAACACAGCCCTTCCTCTCCCTCCTTTCCCATAACTCCACATCTCCAAGTATTTGGCAAACACCAAGGAATGCTCATGACACCACCCTCAGGCCCTGGTTCTCATCTCCTGCTCTGGATCAGAGCAGCCCCTGCAGCTCTCCCCACATCCCTGGCTAGGGAGGCTTCTGGAGTGTGGAAGAGCCAATATCAGGTGTATTCACCCCAAATCACAGAGCTGATGGCATTAAACAAAAGTTGTGCTGGAGAAGAAGAGGACATGGACTGTGCTTTGCAGCTGTGTCAATAAAGGCTGTGCTGCCCACACCCAAGTGGAGGAAAAGTGGCATTTTTAATTGGATTGGCTCAAAACAAGAGTCGAGTAGGAATTTCACAACAAAAATCATTATTGCCTGTGCACTGTTCAGGTGAACCTCAAGCTGTTCTGCTGTTGCAGAACCACTCAGGTCAGAGCTCAGGTCCCTCATGGCTGCTGCCTCTGCTTGGCAAAATTACTGATAAAAAAGGAAGAACAAGGAAATGAGATTTTGCAGGCAGCTGGTTGTGTCTGCTCTCTGGTGAATTAATGAAAGTGATAAACTCGTGTTGCCTGCGGTCTCATGCAGAAGGATGCTGAGCTGAGCAATGTCACCCTTGCTGTGGGTCAAGTCTGCAGCATCCTCTCTCTGTGCTTTGCTGTGGATCATCCAGGGCTCATCCCTGCCCAGCCTGGAGCTGCTCAAAGTCTCTGGGAGGTTCAGGGTACACAGCACCTAAAATGCCTTTTTTTTTTAGGGCTGTTTCCTTCTGCATTCAGACCTGCCAGGATTCAACACAGTGGTTAGGTTTTGTGTTCAGAGAAAGGAATGGAGCTGGGGAAGGGTCTGGAACAGCTGAGGGAGCTGGGAAAGGGGCTCAGCCTGGAGAAAAGGGGGATCAGGGGGGACCTTGTGGCTCTGCACAACTCCCTGACAGGAGGGGACAGCCGGGGGGGTCGGGCTGTGCTGCCAGGGAACAGGGACAGGAGGAGAGGGAACGGCCTCAGGCTGGGCCAGGGGAGGTTCAGATTGGATATTTGGGGAAATTTCTTCATCCAAAGGATGGTCAGGCATTGGCACAGTTGCTCAGGGCAGTGCTGGAGTCCCCATGCCTGGAGGGATTTAAAAGCTGTGTGGATGTGGCACTTGGGGACATGGGTCAGTGGTGGCCTTGGCAGTGCTGGGGGAATGGTTGGACTGGATGATCTCAGAGGGCTTTTCCAACCCAAACAATTATGTGATTCCATGAAGAGCCCAGGACCTTTCTACTCCTACTATAAAGCAGCTCCTATGGAAATCTCAGAGGTAAACCTGCAAAATTTTTTCCTCTGCCTTTTACACCCGTAGTTGTTCACTTGCTGTAGGTGATTCAGTCACCCAGAGAAGCAGGGAGCTCCCATTCCTGTGGGAAGAGATCCCAAAGCCCGGGGGGGGTGACAGCACACAGGATCAGCAGCCAGGCACTGTGTGGTCCTTTATCTCAGTCAGATATCTGCCAGAAATTCCTGGGGAGTCACAGCACTTGACACGATGGATGGGCAGGGAGTAGTGCTTGCCAGGATCTGGGGTGTCCTCACGACAGCTGCACCAGGATCCGTCTGGCCCAGGATTCTGGCTCAGAGCGAGGAGGAGCAGGCTGAGCTCGCACGCTTCAGCACCAGATGTGCTCGTGCTGCTCTCCAGAACCTCCAGGGAGGAGGGTTTGTTTTTTTGGGTTTTTTTTGGGAAAATCTTGTCTGGCTCAGCCCCAGCCCAGGGCATTGTAGGTCCGTGCTTCCAGCACAGAGCTGTGCAGATCCACAGCCAGGTGGTCACTTCTTCCCCACCACTGGTCCGAGGTGTTCCAGTGACTTTGGCTCATGGGGGCCAAACCCTTGGTGGCCACTCAGTGCTCCATACAGAGGGGTGCTGCTTCCCATTCCAGGCAAGTTTTCCCTTGTCTGTGGTCTCCAGCCTCACTTCTCCCCATCTGTGTTTCATAACCGCCTTCCCAGCCACCGGATCCCTGCGGACTGGGCCGGTTTCATCCTGTTTGCTCTATTGTTCCTGCATCTTCTGCTCATGTTTCTGTTCAGGGTCACTGCCAGAGGGATGAGACCCCAGTCTCCTCCTCCTCTTCTCCTCCTCCTCCCTGCCTGCTGCAGTGTTTTCTCTGGTTCTGCAGGCAGGTTCCTACCGGGCAGCATTGCTGGAGCAGGAGGGATGGCTCCCTGTGGAATTTGGGACTCAGGAGCCGATTTTCTGCATCTCTCCCTGCAGCATTAAGGTGCATTTTTACCCATCCCTCAGCTTCTAAGGCCCACAACATTTTGGGGGAGGGTGTCAGATGTAAGGAAATATTTTTCCATCCCATTTTTATAACTCCCCCACTGCAGCGTGGCAGGGTTGGAAAATCCCCAGGAGCTCAGGTTGAAACCGCCAGGGATTTCAGACAGCCCTCAGAATATTTTTGGAGAAGAGAAATTCCAGGCAAGGGGGTTTCCCATCTGAAATCACACTCAGGGTTGGCTGGGGAAAATATTGCTACAGCTCTCCAAGCCCTGCAGCCACACATTGACTCCATATTGAAAGTCCTTGGCCTTTCAGCCAAGTCTTGAGCCCTGGGGATCTCCCTCCTGAGTTTTCCAAGCACTTTATTAAATGCCATGTCTGGTAACGAGAGGCAGTATCGGTTATTTTAATTTTAAATGTATTTATTTTAGGAGCATAATGGGTTTTCTCCAGCCAGCAGATGCCTGTGGAGCTCTCTGTTGGCTCTGACTCTGGAGAGGGGAAACTGGGGAGGGAGGGGATGGAACCAGCACTTTGCTTGTGGCCAAAAATCTTCTCCCTGTAGCAGGTGTTCCTGGAATAAGCCCATCCCATCCCTCTCCGTCCCTTAGTTTGCTCCAGGAGTGGATGTGGTTTGATTGATCTTAGAATTGAAACAAAGCTGAGATTGAGGAACTCAGTGTCACCCAAGCAGCGTGATGGGGGCTTTGGTGGGAAACCTCTGGGCAGGGAGTCTCCTTCCCTGTCCTGCTGGAGTAGGAGCAGGGCTTTCCTCAGGTCTGAGCCCCCATGCCTTGGAAAACGATGCTGTGTTCAGTTTTGGAGTTGTTGCCAGCAGAAGTGGTTGGAAACTGAGGGGATTTATGGCAGACTGTGATTTCCTCACCCACTTTTTCTGCTGTTAACCATGTGGGTGATGTCTGGAAAATCAGGGAGGAGCTGTGTGCTTTGGGATGGAGATGTTGCCCTCCCAGTGAAAGGGAAAGTTGCCTAAACATGTCGTTTCCTGTGGCCATTCTCATTTCTGAAATTAAAAAAATGTAAAATATAACATGTTAAAGCTGGAAAGGAGGGAAGTGGAATGTTTGAGGTATTACAAAAATCCTGATTTTTTTGCCTGACCTCACGTTTCTCCCTGGTTTCATTGCAGGCTCAGGCATCAGGCACACAAAGAGCTTTACGCCTACAAACAGGTGAGATGAGTCTCTACATTTTTTCCCCTTCCTTTCTCCCTAGTGCCAAATCCATCAGGTTTCCACGTGCTGTTCCTGTCTTTGGGAGGTTTCTGGCTCTCAAAAGGCAGTGGTAACACCTAGGCCAATCTGTCCCTGGTGATTTTATTGTCCCCTCCCAGCTGGGCCCCCCAGGACCATTCCTGACCCTCTCATCCAGAAGTCTCCCAGTTTTCCACTCAGGTCCTGAGCAGTGGGAACATCTCTACCTCTGGAGCACCCCAACCTCTCCAGCCTCACCCACTGCAGAGCAGTGATGCCATCACTCCTCCAGTCACCATACTGATACTTTGTGGGGTCTGGATCTGCTCCCAGGCTGTTCAAATCCCTGAAGCCACAGGGCTTTTTCCAGGGAATAACTCCATGGCAAGCCCAGCTCTTCCCTGCACCCACCTGCACTTAGCAATTAAAATAAACACAGCCCAGAGGTGGGTGTCAGGCTGCTGCTGCTTCCTCGTGCTGTTTTTCTCCAGGATTTATGGGATTTTCTGTCTCTGATCCCTTGATTCCTGCAGGAAGCTGGGTGGAGTTGGGCTGAAGATACACAGTTCTCCTGGGTTTATAGCCCTCTCCAGGTGCTCAGCTTGGATGGAGGGAAAATCAAGTGGTAGCCCAGGAGGGTTAAATCTGGGAGGAAGCCTCCTGGATTTGGTCCTTGTGGTTTTATCTTTCCCAGAGCTTCCCTCCTCCTGTCCCTGCACAGGGCCCCTCGTGCTCCCTGGCTGTGCTGGGTTTACTGGAGAGTTTCCAGTTCAATGGGATCCCTTTGTGGAGATTTTTCCTGGGAATGCTCATGGCAGAAGCTCTGTCCTGACCCCAGCTCTTTGCCTTGCAGGTCATACTCAAGGAGAAAGTGAAGGAGCTGAACCTCCATGAGGTGAGCATGTCCTGGGGCAACAAAAGCTCCCTCACCCTCCTCTTCCTCACCCTGGGGAGGGGGCAAACCCTCAAATTCAACTCCACTGGGAGCAGAGCATGCAGCCAGATGTGCTTTGAAAATGGGGAAAGATCCTCTGTGAAAGTCTGGATTAAACCCTCTCCCTCCTCCTGGCTCCTCTTGCGTTTTCCTGCATCGTTATTATTTATTTTGTTCTTCTTATCTCACTGATAAGGAGCAGTAGATAAGGGGAGGCCAAGGCAGTCTGGGCATTGTATAAACAATGTCCCTGAGCAGGGACGTCCCCTCTGGCCCAGCCACCTTCGAGGTGTGACAGTATCCAGCACAGCTCTGGGCAGGGAAACCTGGAATCAGGATAAACACCTCCCCCAGCTCCTGGAAGAGGCAGATCCACTCCTCCCTCCCCACCTCTGAGGGCTGAAACACCTTAGGTCTATCTGCATGGCCTTCCAGGCTTCTTGGAGCTGAGCATTTCTATTCACAGCCCATTTTTTCCTGATGAATTTGAGCAGGAATCTGCTCAAATCCCGTGTAAAAGCACGGCCTGGATTTATTTATTCCACCAGAGATAACAAAAATTCCCACCCACATCCGGGCACGAGGCTGCTCATCTGCTCAGCACCAGCTCCAGTTGTTCATAAGCCACTATTTATTTTATTTTAATCCCCTGAGCAGAGCCCATCCCACGTTTTATCCTGACCCTCTGCTCCCCACAGCCCCCAGGGTAAATCCCAGGGGCCCCAGGGTTGTGAGCACTCCCTGCTGCAGGCCCCCATTTCTGATCCACTCCTGTTAAATCGACCTGCAGTGGGGATTTTGTCGGCACACGGGCTTCAAAGCACTTCCTGGGGTGAGAAATAGGTTGGGGGAGGGATTTGGGAATGTGCCAGAGCTGGGAATGGCCTTGATAATGCTCAGCCCTCCTCCTCCACCTCTGTTCCCAGCTGTCTGCAGCTCTCCCAGCTTTTGGACTCTGAGATCTGGAAAAGCCTGGAAAGGTTTAGCTCAAAAATGCCATTTTGGGCATTTGTATTTTGGCATTTGCAGTCAGTGTTTCTGGAAAGCAGAGGTCGGGGTGGGAATTTCCAACATGACGGGGCAGCTGCCCAGAGCCCTGCGGAGGGAAAGCGCCCACCCAGCTCTTCCCTCCCTGTCTCTGGGTCTGGTTTTCCCCTTTTTCCATCACTCTGCCTCTCCCAGGCCCTGGGGGAGCTCGGGATGTGTGTGTGTGTGTGTGTGTGTGTGTGTGTGTGTTCCTCAGGGGATGACCCCAACAGCTGCACCTGGCCCTGGTGCACTGAGAGATCCCAGGCCAGGGAGGCTGGGAAAACCACCCAGGAATATCCAAAATCCCCTGGGATATTCAAAATGAATCAGAAGGAATTGGCTGCGAGGGTGAAGGAGGTTTTGGCTGAGAAAACAGCCACCAGTTTTCCTGGCCTTGGGATAGGCAGGGCAGCAGCCTTTTCCCAGAGGTGTCCCTGTGGATGCAGCTCAGTCCCAGGGAGCAGGCAGCAGCGTGGATCCATCCCCCTGCACCCTAAAACCTCAGACACTTCCCAGCTTTGGGGCTCTTCTGTGGAGGCTCCATGGTCCTGAGCCTCAGCCTGTGATCCTGAAGCTTGGGCAGCAAAATTTGGGAAGGCTTTAGGGGAAATTTGATTCCTGTGAGGGTGGGGAGGCCCTGGCACAGGGTGCCCAGAGAAGCTGTGGCTGCCCCTGGATCCCTGGAAGTGTCCAAGGCCAGGCTGGATGGGGCTTGGAGCACCCTGGGACAGTGGGAGTTGTCCCTGCCCATGGGATTAGATGATCTTAAAGGTCCTTTCCAACCCAAACCATTCCATGATTGTATCCATGTGTTAGTTTTCATTTGCAAATGCTGCTCCCTGACCACTGCTATCCATCCCTGTGCATCCCCCACCCTGCAGATCTGTGCCGTGTGCCTGGAGGAGTTCAAGCCCAAGGACGAGCTGGGGATCTGTCCCTGCAAACATGCCTTCCACAGGAAGTAAGTGTGGGCAGGGGCTGGGGCCAGGGCTCCTCCCACCCCATCCCGGGTGGGAATGGCAGGAAAAGCCCCCTGGGATCCGTGGGGACGTGTGGAGCACATGGGAGTCACAGCTGGGGGATCTGGGGTTGAACTGGCAGCATGCCCCATGCTCAGTCAGGAGCTGACCTTGCTGATCCTCATGGATCCCTTCCAACCCAGTCTATAATTCCATGAAAAATGTAAATATATATGTTTTATAAAGGTGTGGTTTATATAAAGCAAACCCATTAAAATTTATGTTACTATATATAATAATAATAATATTTTCTATAACAATACTATATAATATTCTATATGGTAAAACTACATAATATCCTACTATATATTACAGATACTTTTATTATCCCTGTATATTTATATATACATTATATTTTATATATAATATTTATTATCTATTATCTATTATATATTTACATTTTTTTAAATTTATGTATACACTATACTATATATACTGTATATATTATATATAATATATATAATATATATTGGATAATATATATAAAGTATATATTATATATAACACATAATATATAATTACATATAATACATAACATACACAATAGTATGATTATATCAGAATTATTTGCATAATTTTAATTTTTATTTATACACATTATATATTCATGTGTTATTGGTGTATTATTTATAGATTCTGTGTCTATAATCTCAGGGACACCTTTTATGTGTATATTTTGTTTATATTTTGATAGGTGTATGCATTTTACATCCTTATTCTATAAATATAAATACAAATTTAAGTATAAATAAAAAATTAAGTATAAATATAAATACAAATTATATATAAAGCATATCAATACAAAATCCCTGTATATACACACAGACAACCCCCTCAAAAAAAATCCCAATAAAACATAATGATACCCAAATGGTGAATTAAAAACTGGGCAGCAGCCAAGCTCCAGGGCAGGGTAAAGGGGCTTTGGGGGAATTTTTGCAGCTCCCCACTAATGTCAGGTGTGTCCCCAGTGATGTCGGGTGTGTCCCCAGCAATGTCAGGTGTGTCCCCACCGATGCCAGGTGTGTCCCCCCTGAGTCCCCGTGTCCCCTGTGTCCGCAGGTGCCTCATCAAGTGGCTGGAGGTGCGGAAGGTGTGTCCCCTGTGTAACATGCCGGTGCTGCAGCTGGCGCAGCTGCACGGGAAGCCGGACCCGGGCCCGCCGCAGGTGCCGCTGCCCGGCTCCCAGAACATCGTATAGTCCCTCCCGGGCCGGGCCCGGCCCGCGCCCGCCCGCGGCGCTCGGACACAACCAAAGCACTTGGGCCGCAGCTGAGCAGCCCCGAATCCTGCCGGGATGAAGCCTGGGCTCGGATCCTCCGCCGGGGCCAGCAGGGGACTCGGCGTTCTCGGCACATCCTTCTTCCAGCACCTCCCTTCTCCAGCCCCGCGGCCGCCGGGAAGCGGCGTGGTGGCACCCGGCGACCTCCGGGAACACCTGACCTCGGGGGACACCGCCACGACCTCCGGGACAGCGCCACGGCCCCCCGAGCTCCGGCACGCCCCGGAACGCGGGTGGGACCCCGCAGAGTCGCAGCCGGTTCCTGCTCCCTCCTCTTCGCCTTGGGTCCCTTCGCCTTTGCGGTTCCCGGCAGGAATTGGGGTCTCGCGGGTTTGGTGTCCCCTCGGCACCTGGTGTCACCCCCGGTGGTGGCTGTGTGTGGAGTCTCCCGGGTTTGGGTCCCTCCCCACCCTCTCGAGGGTGGCAGTCCCTCCTCCTCGGCTACCTCAGGGGCCTGGAGTCCCTGGAAGGGGCACCATCCTGGCCTCAGCAGCAGCGAGAGCCATGGCGTGGGGGGCAGGCAGAAATCCCGGCCTTTGGGATCATCCCATTGCTTCCAGCCTGGCCCCGGGGGTCTCTGGGCAGCGTTTTCCCTTGCCAAAACACCCCAAACCCTTCATCAGCGCCTGGGGGGGGAGCTGGGCCACCCCCTCACCTCTCCCACCACGAATTTTGGGTGTCCCCTGCCATCCTCAGCAGTCGCATTCCCGGGGTTTGGGGAGGGGGTGTCAGTATTACAGGGCAGCGGCTTCCCGGGGGCAGGGCTGGGGGGCTCCTGGTGCTGTCCCCCCTCCCAAAAAACCCGGGACTGTTTATGGAGCGTGGAGCCTCATAGACGTGTTTGTACACTACAAATTCTGCAGCAGAATATTTTTTAAGACATTCGCTGGTTTTGGTTTTTGTTTTTTTTTTTCCTCTGTTTGTTTGGTTTTTTGTAAGCTCTATTTTTGTATATTTAATTGCTATTTGAAAATTCTAATAATGCGTCTTTTTTGCTAATCACACTCTTCTTAAGGAAAAACCAGGAAAGAAAAAAAAAAAACAACCAACCAAGAGTTTGCATGTGATTTGACTTGAAATGTAAATAAAAGCAGGTTTTGGAAGTGGGGTGTGTTTGCAGGGGTCTGTCCCCCCATCCCTTGTTTCCTGTCACCCTGGGGATGTCCCCAGCAGGGGAGGGACCACAGGACTGGAAGAGGGGCGGGTTTGAGCTTGGGGTCACGTTGTCCATGTCCCTGTCCCAGAGCAGAGCTGATGGGGACAGCATCCCATGGCTGCAGAGCACCCCAAAAACCCCAGCTAAGGAATTTTGCAGGATCCAGGCACGGGTGAGCTTCCCTGCTTAGGGAGAGGATATTCCTCCACCCACCCTTCCCAGCCCAAATCCCGGCCCAAACCCCTCGTGCCGATCTCCCGCAGGGTTGGGAGGGGTTCAGCTCCCAGCTCAGCGCTCTGGGATGTCCCGGGGTGCAGCTCCAACCCCTCTCCTGCTCACTTTGTTCCACTCCTCCTCTTCCTCACGGCTTGACCAGGCGGGTGGAAAATTCCCTTTGGGTTGTGCCCGTGGGGGTGGCTGAGCTGGAGACAGGGCAGGTTGGGATCTCTGCAGGACCTTGGTGTGGAGGAGGAGGCGGGACTCTCTCGTGTCCTGTCCCGCTGTCCCTGATCCCTGTCCCGCTGTCCCCGGTCCCTGCCCGGCGCGGGGCTGCTGCCCTCTAGTGCCGGATCCCACCTGGACATCACCCAAACCATGGAACCCTTTGGACCGGGAGGAACTTTAACTCCAGCCCATTTCACCTCCTGCCATGGGCAGGGACACCTTTCACTGTCCCAGGCTGCTCCAAGCCCCATCGAGCCTGGCCTTGGACACTTCCAGGGATCCAGCGGCAGCCACAGCTTCTCTGGGCACCCTGTGCCAGGGCTCACCACCCTCACAGGGAACAATTCCTTCCCAATATCCCATCCATCCCTGCCCTCTGGCAGTGGGAAGCCATTCCCTCAATGTCCTGTTCGCTTTCTCCAGAAGGATCCACAGGGGCTGAGCGCCTGGCTGCCCTCAGAGCCATTTTTGGGATGATGAGCTCGCTGGGTGACTTCCCACTGCTGGGACAAAGTCTGGATCTCCCACTGAGCTGCACAGAACAGTTATTTTTGGTGTTTCCACCTCACAGCTCCTGCTCTGGATTGATGCTGTATCCTCCTCACCAATCCTATTCATATCAATGATTAGCAATGAATTCAATTTCCCCAGAATAATTAATGCTGTTTAAAAAAAAATATCCCCCTCCTTTAAAATGTTTTGAAGTACAACTGATTCCCAGAGCCTGAAACATGCAGGGAGGGAGAAACAATCAAGGATTGCCAACAATTATTTTCAATAAGCTAAAAACCAAGTGGGGTCAACCCAAATTTCCCCAGCACATTTCTGCTCATTCCCACCAACGTCCATCCCACTGTGCTGGAGCTCCAAGAACAAGACAAAAAGCAAACAAAGGGGTTGAAGCATATAAAAATAACTGTAATATTTTATAACAGAAGAAAAAAATAAGCAGTTTACAAAAGAAGGATAGAGAATAAGCCAGGAACTTTGGTGCTGGGATCAGACTGTGCTGATCTACTGGAAAACCCAGAGAAAAAGGAATTACACACACTCATGTATGGAATGAGGAAGTGGAAAACTTGCAGGATGCTGTGCCCAGGGATACCAGTGCCTCAGGGCAGGGGCTGTGGGATTGCTGCTGGGAATTCCCAGCCCTGCAGAGATTTCCCAGCTCTCCACAGCGGAACCATGGCAAGGTGGCTTCTGCTCCCAAGGCTGTGCTTTAATAAAAGCCAGGCTTTTTCCTGTGTATCCCAAGGATTCCCACACCCTCTCCAGCCCAGCTATGACTGACCTGTTACATCAAGGAGCCACACAGGTCCCAGGCACATGAACATTCCAAAAAGCCAAAGTTTCTGTGTCTTTTCCATGAGTTTTAGCCATGAGGGTGGGTGAAAGGCCAGCCAGGTACACGTGTGTTAAATTTTAGGTGGTGCAGCAGGAGCTGAGTCTAGAAACCCTTCAGTCAGCACTCTGGAAATGGAGATGTCGGGAACCTTTGTGCGATTTCACAAGGAATGAAGAATAAATGAGAACTTGAATTCAGCTGATCCCAAACAGGCTGCACAGAGAAGCTGTGGCTGCCTCTGGATCCCTGGAAGTGCCCAAGGCCAGGTTGGACAGGGCTTGGAGCACCCTGGGAGAGTGGAAGGTGTCCCTGCCCATGGCAGGGGTGGAATGAGAGGGGCTTTGAGGACCCTTCCAACCCAACCCATTCCCTGAGCTGTATGATCCTGCTCCCAGCCCTCACCTCTCCAGTACCACCTTGAGGAACACAGAGCAGGACAAGTGGAACTTGTGTGAGGCTGCAGGAAAAACAAACGTTTTCCTCCCCAGCCAGCACGGATCATCTTCCACATGAGCCCTGTGTTATTCTCCCTGATTTTACAGTGATCAAATCCCTGGCTGTGTCCAGAATCCCTGCTCACAGTCAGCTGCAGTTTAGAGACAAACAAACACTGAATCCGTGGTTTCCTCCCTTTTCAGAGGGAGGTGCCACACAAGGAACCCCCCGTGGAGTGCTCAGATCTCCGGATACAGCAACGGGCAGAGCTGGGTAGGATTTACAGGGCAGGGAAAAGTTGGGGCTGTCCAGCACTTCCAGCCAGGGTCACAAGGGGCTCAGTGCTGGAAATTGGTTTCTCTGGGATAAAACCAGGACTGGAAGGGTGTGTTGGGGTCAGGATTATGGTCATTCTGATATCCTGGGATAAACCCTGACACCATGACCTGATCTGTTTTCCCTGTGCTCCACAGAGCTGCTCACTGGGAAGCCAGAGCACTTCCAAAGCTGTGTCTCCATGAGCTCCCATCCCAAGGGAAGGGGCAGATACCTTGTTGCTTTTAGAGAGCATTTATTGAGCGTGCAGGATCCATTCCAACCCCTCATCCCAAGGGTGCAGCTTCCACAGGGGCTCCACACAGCAGTGTCCTGCTTGCAGGCTGTGTGGCAGCATGCACAGGGAAAAGAGGAAGCACAGCATGCAGGGAAAGGGGAGAATTCCCCCAAAATGACAGGAGTGTAGCCATTAATAAATGTAACATGGAATATTACAGAGATCCAAGTGTGACTGAAGGAAGTGTCTCTTTGGTGGAGTTTGGTAACAGAGAGCAAACAAACAACAAATATCCCTTTGCATCCTCCATAGATTTCAAGGCTGGAGGCTGACAGACACCCCGACACCATCCCAAAGGTGCTGAGGACTGTGTAGGAGTGCTGGAGGCTGAAATGGGACTCGCCCTGAGGCACAGATCCGTGCTGTGCTGTACCTTCCGTCCCTAGGACAGAGATAAGGACATGTGGAACAGGGATAAATAAAGCCTGGCTGACAGCACAGCTGTGTCTCAGTGTGGATCCAGTGGAGTTAGTTGCACACACCAGGCTGTGCTGATGCTTTTCCCCCTTCCCAGACCATTTTCCAGCACATGGAAAACCTCAGATTGTGAACACAGAAGTGACCTGGGTACTGGGACTCCAAGGGATTCCAATGGAAGGAGCAGAGTGCTCCTGCTCTGCTTTGTCACCATCATTAAACCTGGAGTAAAACTACCTAGAAAGGGCAATTCCATGTGACTGAAATGCCCCACAGACCTTCCCATACACCCCAATATCCAGCCTGTGTATTCCAATCACACCCTTTGGAACAAACCTGCACTGTAATCCCAGATGATTTCAACTCCTACAGACACCTGTCCCCACAGGCCACCACAGTGGAACAGTCTCAGTGGGGACTGTGACAAGAAACACGGGCTCAGTGACTCCCAAACCACAGGCTCAGTGGCTCAGGGAGTGCCCTGAATCCAGAGGTCCAACACAGATCCTGCAGAGTCAGGCTGAGTCCAGGAGTCCCAGGAGAGCACCGACCGCACCGAAGTAACCCTGAGGAGCAGATGGGAACATCCAGTGAAAATCCACAGGCACACACCTGACACAGCAACAGCAAAGCCCACAGAATCAGGGAATAGCTGGGGCTGGAAAGGACCTTAAAGATATCCAGTGCCACCCCCTGCCACGGCAGGGACACCCTCCACTAGCCCAGGTTGCTCCAAGCCCTGTCCAACCTGGCTTTGGACATTTCCAGGGATCCAGGGGCAGCCACAGCTTCTCTGGGAAATCCATTCCAGGGCCTGCCCACCCTCACAGGGAAGGATTTCTTCCCAATATCCCATCCAACCCTGCCCTCTGGCAGTGGGAAGCCATTCCCTGTGTCCTGTCACTCCAGGCCCTTGTCCCACGTCCCTCTCCAGCTCTAGTGGAGCTCCTGTAGGCACTGGAGTCTCCCTGGAACCTTCCCTTCTCCAGGCTATTACACACACAGTGTAATTTTAACAACACACAAAGGAGAGGAGAAAGATACAACTACAGGGAAATACATTATAAAATAGAAAATAAAATAATATATAGCTGTGACTGTAGCAGCAAAGCCCTGAGCACCTCCTGCACTGTGGGCATCCAACAGCTCCATGTGGCTGTTTCCAGAACACTCCAAGGATTTGCATTTTGCCATGAGACAAATTTTAAAAAGGAATTTTTACCTCATGTTCCAAGAAAAGTGCTTTTAACTGTCCCTTTGACCAGTAGTCCAGGGCATAGGCCAGGAGCCTCATGGAGATGGTGTTGATCCGAAGGAAGTTGCCCACGAACACCACACGGTTGATGTTCTGCAAGTGTTAAGGGAAATAAAAAGGAATATTAAGGCTAAATTCTATTTTCTGCTTGCAGTGATGAAAATCCCATGTGGAGAAGGGTCTGGAGCTCCAGGAGCAGCTGAGGGAGCTGGGAAAGGGGCTCAGGCTGGAGAAAAGGGGGATCAGGGGGGACCTTGTGGCTCTGCACAACTCCCTGACAGGAGGGGACAGCCGGGGGGGTCGGGCTCTGCTGCCAGGGAACAGGGACAGGAGGAGAGGGAACGGCCTCAGGCTGGGCCAGGGGAGGCTTAGATTGGATATTTGGGGAAATTTCTTATTGGAAAGGGTTCTCCAGCCCTGGCACAGCTGTCCAGGGTGAGTCCCCATGCCTGGAGGGGTTTAAAAGCCATGTGGATGTGGCACTTGGGGACATGGGTCAGTGGTGGCCTTGGCAGTGCTGGGGGAATGGTTGGACTGGCTGATCTTTAAGGACTTCTCCAACCTAAATGGCTCTGAAATTCTATTAATTAAGTTCCTGCTGCAAGTGTCTGGCAGAATGTGCAGAACACCACACACAATTCCATCAGAAAGCAGGACCAGGCCATTTTAAGCCACCTTCTTCCTCAGACTCTCCCAGAAATTCCCAGGCCCAACTACAGCCTAACTCAGGAATTTGGATAGAACAGCTGATTTTCCTACGAAATCCTTATAATGCCTGAGAACACTGATCATCCCACCCCTCCCTCCCAGCTCTGGCCTTTGATTCATCATGAAATAGCTGAGTAACTCTACTGTTAAACTGGGGGAAAAAAACTAATTAGGAGCCCATAACCAACACAATTTTTAAGGAAAGAAAAAGACCAACCAAGTACTGATTATTTTGGATTTAAATCAGACTTCCAGCCTTACTTTTCCATCCCAAAATTGTTGTAATCCAAGCTCTGAAGCTTTCTTGTTCCCCAACATGAAAATAATTCAGTTCCTCCTCTTTCTGATGAATCAGGATCAAGTCTTACCTGCTCCTGCACTTGCATCCTTCTATGGATTTTCCTTCCCTCCCCATACTGATTAACACTTCCCCTGAGCTATTCAAGATCTTCTTTTCATTCAGCTGAGCTCCAGAGCAAGGAATTAGCAGATACTTTAAGAGCAAGGCTGTTTAGGACATGTCTTGCCTCATTTTGGCTGCACCAAGACAGAGCCAGAAGAGTCAGGAGGATGCTGGATTCCATCAGCCCATCCCGTGGAAGCAGGCTCAGGATGGAGTGCAGAGCAAGTCTCTGCTCTTTCATAGCCCTGTACAATGCTGCTTGACATGAATGCAACAAGGCAGCACTGTAAAGAAGCTGAAAGCACAAAGATGCAGCAACAGCCGTGGCAGCAGTGGGGCTTGGCCAAGAAATCCAGAGCAACTCGTAAAAACAACACAGGAGAAGAAATCCAGCCTTACACCCTCTATCCCTGCTTTCCTCCTCTCCCACTGGTTCCCAGAGCTGCTCCCAAAGAGAGGCACAATCCTCAAGCAGGCAGCAGCAGCAGGTGATGTTTGAGGCAGGGAGCAAGGGAAGAGATTCCCAAAATACCTCGTTAAGGGCACACATCCGTGCTATGGAACCGATGTTGTTGGTGATGGTGATTAAAGTGGCCCTGGCCAGGTCCTCCTTGCTGACAGATTCCCTCTTCTCCTTGCTCATCATGTTTCCAAAGCTGTAAAGACAGTTTTGAGGTTAAAGGTCTCATCAGAATTACAAGAGAAAATGGGAACTGCTAATTTAACCAAAGTGCTTCACATTGAAGGACTGATTTCTGACTTTAAAAAGCATTAGCTATCTGTAACTTAGATCTCTTAGGAATGGTTGCTCTCCTAAGGCACCTAAATCCAGTTTTCCATCCTTGCAGGATCTCCAGGGCAAACAAAACCACAAAGAGATGCCGGCAGGGCGTTACCTGGATGCCACAGCCCAGCCTGGCAGCCCGAAGCGCTCGTAGTCTCCTCCATAGATGTCCCTGACCAGTTTGTCCACCTTGGTGCTGTCCCCATGGGATGCCATCTCCAGGGCCTCCTCGAACGTGGAGCAGCCTGTCAGAAGGCAGCAGAGGCCAAAGAAGGTTCCGCCTCCAAGGCTGCAAGTAAAGCAAAATGAAAATTAAAATTCAGATTGTTCAGCTCTGCATCCCACCTAGCTCAGGTCACCCCATTGGAAAAGCAGCATTTTCCTTAAAGTCTGTTCCTCTCACATAACCTACAGCCTGGAAGGAATCCCCCACAGACCATGCTGTGAAATGAGACTTCCATTTTTTTAATGTTACACTGTCCACTATATTCCCAGCATCCAGGGATGTTAATCTTAAAATAAATGTTAGTCCTGAGGGATAAGTGGAGTGTCAGGACAGAGATATCCGAAAGTTGGGGCAAAAACTCTGTCTTGTTCACTTTACAGTGCATAGATGCCACTAAAAACGTCTAGTAACAATAAGAACTGTACTGAGGGAATTTAAAATTATTATCATTATTATTACTACCATTACCTTCCAGGGAATCCAGGAAAGCTTAAAGCCACAGAACTCGATGGCTTTTCCAGAACACAAAAGCCACATCTTCAAGATGAGCAGCACCTGGCAAATTACTGCTGTGCCATTATCCCTTCCACCAAAATCTGGCAACTTCTGGAAGTCAGGATGGAAATCTTGACTTCTTGGATCAAAGCTAAGAGTTGTTAACTATCCCAAACCATGGGATCTCATAAAATAAATAAATAAAGCCCTTAAAGTCCTGAAAAAACAGCTTTGATGGAGACTGGCTGCAATAATGACACCAAATCATGAAATCCAGATCCAGTTTTCAGGAGGGATCTTTGTTGGCAGGGAGTAAGAGCAGTAAGAGCAAGAGGTCGGTCATTACCCTCACCACCTTTATTCATGTCCCTGAAAATGCCATTTACAAAGCAGGAATGTGCTCCAGACCCTAAAATCCAAGTCCCTTTATCCCCCAGCACTCACCTGGTGCCTGTTACCCGTTTATAGTTGTCTTTGGAATAGACAGCCAAAATGCTGACCCCTGAGCCAATGTTCACCAGAAGCAGAGGATAGGGATTCTCCAGGTTGAATGGGAGCTTCTGGCACCTCTCAGCATCCGTGGGGTTCTCGAAATAGTAACACTCTGAGTGTCCATTGAAGCCCACAGAATCGATGTACAGCATTCCTTTAACAAGGCAATCCAGCTCATCGAGCTTACAAAGCTCAAGGTCACCCATCTGGTAGGAAGGAAAAAAGAGGAATATTGAAGGATAAGCCAGGGATTTGAGCATTGATGCTCAGGGCTGGAAAAATGCACTCACTGCCAGCTCAATCCAGCTCAGTCCATGTTCCCTGCAGAGGCTGAGGGAGAATGGATCACAGGAGAGCACAGGGACTCCCTAAGTGCCACAGCCCTCAGGTGTGGAACAGGGGAAAACAATCTGGATCCACAGATGGACACAGAGAGAATTCCAGAAACTCCCACAGGCCTGATACTGAGGCATTGGTGTGAAAAGCCAGGAGGAACTTAAGAGTGTTTGACCAAAATATCCCACAAAACCCATCTAAAGGAACATCAAAAAACAGCGAGGAAGTTATAAAACCGTTTTCCCCTCATGTCACTGTCTTGACCACAAAAAATTCGCTATTAGGAAAAACTTAACAGAAACAGTTTTGCTGCCCAGGATAGTGGTAGAATCCCCCATCCCTGGAGGGATTTAAAAGCCACATGGACATGGTATTTGGGGACATGGGTCAATGGTGGCCTTGGCAGTGCTGGGAGAATGGTTAGACTGGATGATCTTAGAGGGCTTTTCACCCTTAATGGTTCTCTAAAAGTCTCTTTATTTGCATTTTTCCAAGCTCTGACTAAATATTTATCACACATTTTTCACCATGAACAAGGGTCCCACATGGGATGAAGCCACATGATGATGTCCAACCCCAACTGTGAATTTCCTGACAGTTACATTCACCACCAAATCTGCCTGAACCTCAACCAGCTCATTCACACAGGTGTTAGAAATGAAATCAGGTGAGGAAAAGAAGAAAATAAAGCAGGAGAAAGACAACAATGAGTTAAAAAAAAAGAAAAAAAAAACACCAAAAAGACTGAGATTAGCACAAGAAGAGATTAAAAATAGAGAGGAAGATTTGCAAAACAGATCATTAGTGAATAATTTTAGAGTTACATTCAGGGCAGGAAATGTTTTAATTTGGAGGTGCCATCTTGATTCCACATGCCAAGTTTAACTTGTTAGGGACAGCGTCAAAACAAAGATTTAGAGACGTTTTAGAGTGTGCAGAGAAAATTTTCTAGTTTTAAGCTTTCAAAGAAACGTCACTACCAGATCCTAACGGTATAGAAGCCAAAAATGCCTACTGTGCGAAAGTCCTGCTCAAATTTGTACGCTCCACCTCCCGTGGCACATAAGGTAGTATGGAGGCTTGAGAAATGCTTTTCGCTTCCCATTTGGATAAAAGCAGGCATGTCATGAGTAGGAAAGCGTATAAAGTGCAGATTGCCTTTACGTCCACACAGGGTAAGGTCCTTGAGCTCAAGGTGCACATCCCGAATGCCTGTGGAGCCATAGGCTACGTTGGATGTCAGGTATTTGCGGATGCTTTTGAGGTTTTCTACTTCTTCCTCTTCCTCTTCGGCCGTGATGTCTTTGGGTTCAAAATAAACCAGTTTGACCAAGGTCCCTCCGATGTCCAAGCCAAACCAGGGAAAGACTGGAGAGAGAAGACAAAATGAGACAGGGTATGGCACAGCCATAGAACGAGCAGCTTACTAGTGGAAGCTGCCCCTACCCCTGGGAGGAGGTTGAAACTTGATGGTCTTTAAGGTCCCTTCCCTCCCAAACCATCCTGGGATTCTACTGGAAACAGTTTTCATTGAATTAATTAAAGCAGGTCTTTAAGGACTCATGTGGTCTCTCCATTTTCAGGAATGCTGTCTTTGACAAGAGACTCCTCCAACATGAGCACAGCTCCTGTTCAGAGATCCCTCATGCTCAGGAGCTCTGAATATTTGCTGTACAATACTCAAACATCCCTCCCCACAGGTCTGACAGCTTCTACAGCCCTGCCAGATCCTGCTGCAGGTTTAATCCCCAGCTATTCCTTTTCCCAAGTTCTGAACCAGAGCCAGAGCCACGGATAACACCAGTGCTTTTACATCAAAGGGATGTACAAACCTTCCCTAATTACAACACAGAGCTGAGGTAGACAAGTAATCTAAGATGCCGCAGGGAGACAAAAACAAATGTCTAACTGGATTATTTTATTAGCCAAATTCCCCCATGGTACAAAATATGCATCAGTGTCAGGCCCAGCAACATTTACAGCTGTTAGATAATGAGCTTCTTGGAAAAGATCAAGAGAAACCCCTGATCTGATGGAATCTGCGATTAGAGCTGGGAAGTGGAACAGATTAATATCACTATTAATGAGCTAAAGGAGAGGCTGGAGCTAACGAGATGCCCGGGCTCCAGAGCAAATGGAAAAATGTAGCCACATGTTATGGCTTATGGGAGCAAGATTCAACCCTTATGGTAGCTTCCAGAAGGAAAAAAGGAACTTTTAGAAAATAAACCTGAATATGGAATCATAAACATTGGAGAAGACCTCCACAATCCAAACCATTCCCCCCAGCACTGCCAAGGCCACCACTGACCCATGTCCCCAAGTGCCACATCCACATGGCTTTTAAATCCCTCCAGGCATGAGGACTCCAGCACTGCCCTGGGCAGCTGGGCCAGGGCTCGAGAGCCCTTTCCATGAAGAAATTTCCCCAAATATCCAATCTGAACCTCCCCTGGCCCAGCCTGAGGCCGTTCCCTCTCCTCCTGTCCCTGTTCCCTGGCAGCAGAGCCCGACCCCCCCGGCTGTCCCCTCCTGTCAGGGAGTTGTGCAGAGCCACAAGGTCCCCCCTGATCCCCCTTTTCTCCAGGTTGAGCCCCTTTCCCAGCTCCCTCAGCTGCTCCAGACCCTTCCCTGGACATGCTGCAGTTACCAACATTTCTCTGGAAAAGAGAAAAAGAGGATCTTGGGTTTGAGTAAAATTCCTTATCTGCAAACAGATAAGGGTGGAACATGGAGAAGCCCTCATTCCTCTCTTTGGAGCAAGAATCCCTCGTGTCAGGCTCTTCAGGGAACAATCTTTGCACTGGCAGAAGCCTGACAAGTTGGAGGACACATTCTCTCCTAGGCAGCTTTATCTGGTGGCTGTACAGGCTCTTCCAGAGCTTTCCAGCTCCCAGGAGCTGCTGGCACTGGCAGCCCCCCACAGTATTTTTAATCCACCAAGTTATTTTTATGTATTTCCATAGAGGCCACCCCCAACCATCACCAAAGGAAATCTTGAAAGAAAACGCAAGCTCTATTTTCGGAGATACATCCAAATCCCAATCACCCTCCATTTCGGAGGCATTTACTTCAAAGAAGAACAGACACAAAAATAACTTTTCATGAATGAAAGGGAAAGGAATCTGAATGGCAGCACTACAGAGAGAGGGAGCAGGAGCAATCCAAGGACTTTTACACAGATAGTGCTTAATACAAAGGGGAAAGGTTTTAAACTAAAAGGAGACATTTACATATCAGAAATTCTGCTCTGTGAGGATGAGGAAGCCCTGGCACAGGGTGCCCAGAGAAGCTGTGGCTGCCCCTGGATCCCTGGAAGTGTCCAAGGCCAGGTTGGACAGGGCTTGGAGCACCCTGGGATAGTGGGAGGTATTTCTGTGTCCAGGCAAGGGGGACTAGAAGCAGATGGTCTTTAATGGCCCTTCCCAGCCAAACCATGCCATGATTCTACGATTTGTTCCTCTCAGAACGTGCCATTTGATTTCTGCATTCTGAAGTCCACTGGGCTTTTTTTTAAAGCATCTTCCCCCAAACTCCCTCTGCCAGGCTACACAGGGGTAAAAATGGCGAGAGAGCATAGGCTGGGGACTCAGAGATGGCCTCACCGATGTGCAGCAGAAAGACAAACATCCAAAAACACGGTGCTCTGAAGCCACATGCCTGAAAATGCCACGGGGGCTGCTCAAACACAGACTAACAGGCTCCCACTTCCCAGCACTCAGCTGGTAGCACATGCACAGCTTCAGTAAAACAACATATTTGTTTTAAAGCTGGTAAAGAAGCTCACAAACTCCTACACTCAGTGACACAAACCTTCCAGATTTCAGTGCAAACACCAACTGGGTCCATCAGTTTAGGCAGCTTTCCTGGTCACAAAAAAAAAGAAAAGAGCAGCCTCTTGGAAATTTCATCCCAAACCCAGCACCATCAAGACCTTCAATTTTTCATTATACATAAATTTAGCTTTTATTTGGGCAGTACATTAAGCATGGAGTTAAACAACACCAGTTATCCACTATCTGTCTCACCAGAAACAGGGAAACAGGAATGATGCCAGCAGAGCTGGAAGTAACTGCAGCCAGGCTGGGCTCAGGGGTCACTATCTCCACTCAGCACTGGCCCTAAAAACAAAATCCAAGCCCCTGAAGTGAGACACAGCTTCCAAGCAGAGCTGGCTCACAGCTCCCTGCAGCACTGGCTGGAAAGGCTCTGCACAGAGCAGCTGGTGCTCTCCATCTGCCAGCAGCTCGGCTCTACCTTCCCTAAGTCACCAGGGATACATTCAGAAAGACAGACTATTAAGGTAATTAACTCACCCCAAATGGCTATTAATTATGGATCCCTCATTATACACATCCCAGCCACAGGTTAAGAATCCAAGGAAGCAGCAAAATTAAGCTCAAAATTAAGTACTTCTTTCCCAGGCTGTGAAGGATTCCCTATGCAGTAACACCTGTTGGAGAACTCAATCCATTAGAGGGAAAAAACTTCCCTATAAACCCTTTTTTGTAGGAAAAGGGAATGGCACACAAACAAGAGGAGGAAATTTTTCCATGAAGAACTGGGAATTTTTTCCTGACACTTACAGGAAATCATCCAACAGGAACATGCAGATCAGTGACAGCTCTTCCATGTCTGAGAACTAGAAAAATCCAAGGCAGGGAGGAGGAAGCTCTCCTGGATCAACGCCATCACCATCTGCCACCAAGATTTCTCCTGAAACACTGATTTTTTTTTGATTTTTTTTTTCCCAGCAGATGAAAGCCATCCAGAGATTTCTCCCTTTTAAGCCTCTAAAGAAATTTTTCCAAGAGAGCTGCTGCAGATCTCGAGGAGCAGCAGGAGAACTGCTGGCATCCAGGAGCCCTCTGGGCATCCCCGAGGCTGATTCTGCTCAGTCAGAAGATTCTGCTGGAATAACCAGACACCAGCAACAAGGGCTAGGGCAGGAAATGCAAAGACTGCCTCTCACCACCTGCTCCCTGCTGCTACCTGGAGCTCCCTGTGAGGGAAGAGCCTCACATGTCTCCTTTCCAAGCACCCACCAGCCACAGAGCAAAGGGAAGGATAGCAAATCCCAAGGCTGGCATGGGAAGCACGTTACTCACTGCATGGACCTCTGGGCTCTCCTCCTGCCCAGCACCTTCTGGGAAGGGTTTAGTTGTTCCTTGGGTGTTTGGGCATTTCCAAGAAAGGCAGGAAATCCTCTGCTCTCAGCTCCAAACCTCCTGCAATCTCTCCCCTTAAAGAAACTCTGTTGCTTTTTTAGAGGATGAGAGCCATGAATCCCATTCTCAGTGAGCTGGGCAGAGCAGCTGTGGCTGCTCCATTCCAAGGCCAAGGCCAGGCTGGAGCAACATGTACTAATGGAAGGTGTCCCTGCCCATGGCAGGAGTTGGAATGAGATGGTCTTGAAGGTCTCTCCCAACCCAAACCATTGGTCTGACAAACTTTTGCTTTCCTTGAGCAATTTTAAAAACAGCTCTCTCTGTATATTTTCATATAAACAGCTCTTTGTCTTAAAAACAAACCTTCTTCTCAGGGGCAGATCTATGGATATGCAGCAACAAACAAAAGACTGTTCTGCCAACAAAGTTAAGGGCTCACAGCTCTGATAAATAATCCCAGAAAACCTCCAGGATACTTTGTGTACCCACAACAAGAGCTGCCACCCTCCTTTCAAATCCCTTTTGCAGACTGTAAGATCTTCAGGGCAATAAAAAGAAATTGCCTTTATCTGATATGTAAATTACTTCATAAAATTGGACACTATGTAAATAAAAAAGCCCTCAACAGACTTATTCTGCAAGCTGCAGGACTGTCAAGATGAAAGAGATGATATAATTAAAGATCTCCATGGTGGATTTTCATCACAAAACAAGCAGCTCGAGTTGTATTTCAGAGTGATCTTTAACTTCTGAGCCAATTATATCAGGAGCTAAATAGATTAGTCTGATGATTTAGTTCAGTGTGTGACAGCACCTCTAAGCTTACTCTGAAATATTCAATATTGTATTTTAATAGTGTTACACCATGCTGGAGATTTTACAGTTGAGAAAAAAATACAATTCATTAGCATTTAATATGAAGTGACACTAAGTCTATATCTCCTCCCATCCCTAAAAGCAGGTTCTGATAGGAATTCATAGTTTATACACCATTCCAAAACAGAAAAAGATATTTAAACATCAAAGCTTAAATTTTGTCCTACCGAAGAGGTGACAAAACACCACTTTGTTTTTATGTTTTCTTGGATACTTTGTAAATTGCAAATTTAAAGTCATATGTCCATTATGTCTTAGCATGATCCTGACAGAAGACACTAAAACTCTTAAAAAAGGAATCAGTTGAAGAGAAATAATATTTTCTCAGGGAACAAACAAGCTACAGAAGGGAGAAGCACATTTTGCTAACCAGGAAAATAACCTAATTTCATCTCTGTTGAATATCCCAAGATTTCAAGATGAGCAGGGAGAGAGTGGAGGAAAGGGAAAAGGGGGAAAGCTGATGAACTGAAATGCTGATCTCTTATAAAAAGATTCATTAAAAAAACATTCCCCTGCTCATTATGACCATCATCAGGTTTCTGCCTGGCACTTCACCCTGCCCACAGCCACAGTTCCCTTAAGAACCATGATGAGAATATCCTCATTACTCATCTGGAGTCTTCCCAGTCCAATTTTTAAGTATAGATTTCAAAAATAGCACTGATAATTCAGTACAAGAAGGGAATTTTCCTGTATTTTTCCTGAAACTGATGAAGTTTTTGTGTATGATGTGTCTGCCTGCACTAATAATCCTGTCAGACTCCCCAACACTCCAAAGCTTCAACAAATCTCCACTTCATGTTTTCAGGGACACTTCTGAGATCAACAGTGTCCTTGACTTCTCCCTCTTCTGTCAGGAGCACACAGAAAATCCCAGCATCTGCAGTAAAGCCCTTCAAGTGCATCAGGAAACATTTCACAGAATCATTCAGGCTGGAAAAGATCTCCAAGAGATCAATTCCAGCTGTTAACACAGCACTGACATCTTCACCCCCATCCTAATCCACATCTCCAAGACTTTCAAACAAGGAATTTCAATTTCCAGGGAATTTAAAAGCCCAAGGTGCATGAAGGCATATTGAGTGCACTGTTTATTTCTGATCTATCCCAAATCCAGCCCTGACTGTCCACGACAGGCTCAGAGGGCCGAGGAGGAAGGAGGATCACGAGTCTGCTGAAATCCTTTCATTCCTGGCGAAGTGGGGCTCATCTGCCAGGGCATCTGCCAGCACAGGCAGGCAAGACAAGCCTCAAGGTCACCCAGCTCGTTTGCCACATGCCAGCAGCAGACAAGTGGGAGCTAAAGTAGGACATTTTTGATCCCACGCCCATTAAGTGCTTTCCTTTCATTTTGGCTTGAGTCTTCCTTAAGGTGGGATGGAGTGTTTTAACTCCAAAACTCATGACTGATTGTGACATCAGGCATTGTCCTGCTAAGGGATGCACTTGCTCCAGCACGCTTCTCTTCCAATTATCACAAGAATAATTTAGCAAAGTCAGACTGCGCTGTAATTCCGAATCCCACCCGCTGACCTTCCAGACTTAATCCAAACCCTTTTTTGAAAGCTGCCGGAACACCTGTTTTCCTTAAAGTATCCCATGCCACTCTCCACTTATCCACATTTTTCCAGAGAAAACACAGAAACTGCCCCGAGCAAGGCAGAGGAGAATCGTCACTTAATGCAGAGCTCCGAGTCCTCCCTCATTTTCATACCAGAGATCTCCTTCATGTCCCTGCAGCCTTTTAAGAGGTCTCTAATTACAGCCTCACAGACCTCTATTCCTATTTTTGACACTAAGGGCAGGAGAGAAGCTGCCTTTTTCACCAGCAACCAAAAAAAAAAGAGCAGGAACATTCTTAAAACTTCCCATAAATACGATAACAACAGTATCTCGGCACTGCCAGCCACAGCTGAGATGCAGCAGAATCCCGATCCCCGTTTTCAGCCCAGATTCTTTGCTCACATCTTTTTAACAGCTGTGCAGGTACCAAGGAATTACACCGAGGCTGTTTCATTTTCAGGGTATAGCAATTTCCTTCCAGGAGGAAGGACTCCAGCAGAAGTCAAGGAATAATCTCTCGGTTATTCCTCAAATATGGCTGAAGTCAGGGACAGCCACGGCACCTGCACGGCAGCTCCTGCTGCTCCCAAAATGAAGGCTGCCATCCATTTTGCCGTTTCCAGTAGGACATTTACAAACGTGGTTCTAGGGATTATTTTTTTTCCTTAGAAAGCCTGGTTTTATCTGTGCCCAGCTCCTGCCAAACCTGTCAGGTTCTTCCCTCTCAAAATTTAAATTATTCCCTTTGCTCTCCATTGCTTTTCTTTCACAGTGACGAGTCCAGCCCCACAACCTCAAACCCTGGTCCCTCCGTCTGTCTTGCTGTGCCCTTTTCCTCATCCTCTGTCACCAGGTGCCTGCTCTTCCTTCCCATCCAAGGTCTCCAATTTGGGAACCTCATCCCCAGGCCATGTCCTGCCCCACCAGGCAGGTGTCGCCTCACCCTAAACCTATTGGAGCTCTTGCAGTTCAGCTTGTCCCATCCTTCAACCCAACCTGCTGAGCGCACGTCACTGTCCCACCGTGCCCTCACCGTGCTGTGCCCGAGCTGGCCATGCTGGATAAGACATCAACCCACCGTGTCCCTCCGTGCTGTCCCCACACGGGCCATGCTGGACAAGTCACCACTGCCCTGTATCCCCATCGTGTTTCCGACTGCCCATGATGTGCCCGTGTCATCACCCCACTGTGTTGTCCCCAGACTGCCCACGCTGTACAAATCCTCACCCACCGTGTCCCCGCCGTGCTGTCCCCACGCTGCCCATGCCGTGCCAATCCCACGGCCCCTCTGCGCTGTCCCAATGTCCCCATCCCGCCCCGCTGCTCCCCAATGTCGCCCCCCGGCCACACCTACCCGGACCACGCCCCTTAGGCCCCGCCCACCTTGGCACCGCCCACGGCGCTCATTACCATAAGCCCTGCCCCCCCCCCGCCCCTCCTCTGGGCCCCCCCCCCCTCCGGCTTCTTTCCCCCCCCTCTCGCTGCCGTTCCTGCTCCCCCGCACTCACGCGGGCGGTTCTTGCGGACCGAGTCCCGCCGCTGCCGGCTCACGGACCCGCCGCGTTCGCGGGGCTGCGGACCCGCCGCGCTGTCCGCGCCCGCCGCGCCGCCGCTGCTCCGCCGCCGCAGCTGGGAGGGCCCGGCGTCCGCACCGCCGCCCCGCCGCCGCGGCTTCTTCTCGTCCTCTGCGCCATCGCCACAACTGCGCGGCGGTTCCATCGGCAGCGCGGCCCGGCCCCATGGGCCGCCCGGCCCCGCTCCGGCCCCGCTCAGCCGCCACCGCCGCAGCCACCGCCCCCGGCGCGCCTGCGCCGCACGGCCCCGCGGGGCGGGACACTCCGTGAGGCGGCCACCAATCCGCGCCCCCCGCGGCGCAGAGCGACAGGAGGATGCGCCAATGGGAGGCCGGTATTGCGCGGCAGCGGGGAGCCGGGTCCACCTCCTGCTGTTGGTCGCTTAGAGTGACAAGCGCTGCTGACCAATCAGAAGCGTGCGCCTGGGCGAGGCGGGCCGATATGCGGCAGCTCTGGCCTATGGGTTTCCTCTGGGGTGAGATTGACAAGGCAACCGCCCAATGGCCGTGAGAGCTGTCCGGGTGAGGCGGGAGAATACGCGATGATTGACGGCTGGGTAACTATGGCAACGCGGGGGGCCGGAGGGAAGAACCGCAGTAGACTCGGCTGGGCTGGGCCGCGCGGATGGGGCACATTTGAATATGATTTGCATATGCAGATGACGATGCACATAGACGTGGGGTGCGTCTGCCACCACCCGCCATGGTAGGCCTCAACCTACCTTAAAACCATCTCGTTCCACCCTCTGCCATGGACAGGGACACCTTCCACTAGCCCAGGTTGCTCTAATGTCCAACCTGGCCTTGGACACTTCCAGGGATCCAGGGGCAGCCACAGCTTCTCTGGGCAGCCTGTGCCAGGGCCTCACCACCCTCACATGGAAGAATTTCCTCCTAGGATCTTAAAAGCCGCAGCACTCCTTTACATTATAACATAATTGCAGTGTGGATACATCACCGTTCTTTAAACCCTGATCCCGCGTTTGTCGACAACTGCAGGAGGAAACCCCCAGGTGGCAGAAAAATTAAGGCAATCATGAAGAGGGGTGTAAACAACAACCAACAGGATAAAAATTCAAAAGGAAAACACAGATTCCCAGACTACAGGATGCGTAACAGCTCCCGTTGTAACGCGATGGAGATTCCCGTGTGGAATGTTAATTGTTGTCTGACACACCCAGAGCACACCAAGCATGGAACTGCAGCCCGGTGACCCCGGGTGCTCCTCACCTGCCACGGGGTAATCCCAGCTCACCACAGTCCCCAGGCATTAATTCGATACCTGAAGGATCAGCGACCAACATTCCACAAAGGTGTGATAATTTCCGTGAAAATTTGCTGAATTCTGGTTGCTTGAGTGAAAACGGGACAAAGGGATCGGTCAAATTTCCTTGGTGTATTTTAATATCCTGTTGGGCGAGTGGAGGAAGTGGATAAAGGGGGTTGGCAGTGACAGGAGAAAAAGGATGAGCTCTCTGAACACAAAAAATCTCCTTCAGAGCAGCATTGCTTTCATTTGGGTAAAAAAGGAACTTGCTGAGCTGCACGAAGCTCTTGAGTATTTTCAATCCCTGCTGACTGTGTTTGACACACCTGGGCTGAAACAGCTGGAGTGGGAAAGCAGAAAGCAAGGGAAGCTCATGGGGTGTCTCAGCTGTTGGGACAGAGCAGAGTCCTTGGGAGCATGGAGAGGGCACAGGAAAGGGCTGTTCCCTCCCAAAAGCTTCCTGTTTGTCCCCAAAAGACACACAGGGGGTGAGCCATGGTTTAGGGATGTTGGTGCCTCTGTTCTGCAGGTCAGAGCTGTTCAGGGCACAAGAAGAGAAACCTGGGGAGCAGCCACCTCCAGAGCTAAACCCAGAGTGGCTAAGGTGGCCCAGCATGGAAAAGGTGCCCCTTTTCTGGGCAGGATCCCAGGATAGAATTCAAGCAGAAAACCTGGATAATGAATAAAGCAGCATCGCGACCTTGGTGGGTACCAAGCTCAGCACACATCTGTACACTGTGTCCACCTGGTTACATCCAGTCCCAAGGGTCCTTCCCTTCCAGCCACAGCTCCTTCCACAGCTCCATCCTGACTTGTGCAGCTCAGCTGTTTGCTGCCTCGGGAGCCACCTTCCCTGTTTTCATCCTGGGCATCCTACCACCAACAGGAAGATCTGCCATGGTGGGCGTCCTCTGGACCAGGTCCTGTGCTTGCTCCAAAATGAGGTCTGGAAGCTGTCCCTGAACCCTGTCACCTCCTCCTGGCACTGATGGCCTCAGCCTCTCAGTGTCACTGCCAACAGAGCCCTTCAGAGCATTCCCTCCAGCCACGGTGTCATCAACCTACTGCTCTTCATCCCACAAATCACAAGTCAAGTGTGAAGCATCAAACCAATTTATTATAGTTAGTAAAAGGCTTTTTAGCCTGTTAGTAAAAGCTGTGCAGGGACACAGCTCCCTCCTGCACCATCTCCTGCCAATGAGGCTTTAAAGTGCTATGTAACAACTGTGAAAAGCCCAGCACTTCACAGCAGCAATCTGAACATGTGTTTTCCCCAGTCTGAGGTGGTGACAAACCAGCTATTTCACAAGAGAAATCTGACATGAAAAGGCGAAGCATACAAGCTGTTGCTTAAATGTATGGAAAATCATGGGAAGAATTTCACAGGCAAGTAAAGCATCAGAGAAGAGGGCCTTGGTATGGATGCAGCTGGTCTGGGATCTCATGGATCTCCCCTGAATTACATGAAGTGTGAAGAAGGCAAATCCCTTCCTGTCTCTCCCCTTAGGGAGTGAAAACCGTTCTATCTTTAACAGGAAGAGCAGCTCCCACATTCCCTCTCCTGGCAGAGGGGGGCCCAGTGTGTTTAAAGGACTGTCCATTCCTCCTTCAGCATGAGGCACTGAGCAAGGAATGAACACCTTGAGCACTTCTGGAAAGCAGCCCTGACACATCAAAATCAACACCTCCCTCTTGCATATATTGGCTGTCCTTAGTTTCATGGAGGCACTTCTTGGATTTTTGGGCGGAAGGAAAGTATTGGGAGGGAGGAGCAGCCATTCAGGGCTCATGGATCCTTCCCACCACAGACCAAGCTCTGGGTGTGATGGTTGCACTTTACAGCCAGGCCCCAGGGGGTTGAGCTCCCTCCTGCTCCCTACCAGCAGGAAAAGCAGATTTTGGGAAGCTGTGCTGATAGCAGAAGTTCAGGATGAATGTTACACAGGGGGGTGAAGGAAGTGATTCTGCTCCTCTGCTCTGCTCAGGTGGGACCCCACCTGCAGTGCTGTGCCCACCTCTGCAGCCCCAACATAAGGATGTGGAGCTGCTGGACTGAGTCCAGAGGAGGCCACAGAGAAACTCTGAGGGCTGGAGCCCCTCTGCTCTGGAGCCAGGCTGGGAGAGATGGGGGTGTTCAGCCTGGAGAAGACTCTGAAGAGACCTTCTAGCAGCTTCCAATACCTAAATGGGCTCCAAGAGAGCTGGAGAGGGACTTTGGACAAAGACCTGGAGTGACAGCACAAAGAGGAATGGCTTCCCACTGTCAGACGGCAGGGATAGATGGGATACTGGGAAGAAATTCTTCCCTGCAACGGTGGTGAAACACTGGCACAGGTTGTCCAGAGAAGCTGTGGCTGCCCCATCCCTGGAAGTGTTCAAGGCCAAGTTGAATGAGGCTTGAAGCAACTTGGAGCAACCTAACTACTCCAGGCTGTTGGTTCTTTACTGCTTTACTGTATTCTACAATCCCAGAATGGTTTGAGTTAGAAGGGCCATTAATGAGCATCTCATCCCAGCCCTCTGCCATGGGCAGGGACACCTTCCACAAGACCAGTTTGTTCCAAGCCCTTTAGACACTGGAATGTGCTACAAGGTCTCCCCATAGCCCAGAGCATCTCAGACTCTGGTATGGCCTCCCTGCAGTGCAGTTGATCCTGTTTGTGTCCCAGCCTGGGCAGAAGGTTCCTACACCCCTATCTCATAGCCTCAGGTATCAGGAAGGGCAAGAATTCCACCTACCCTTTGAACCAAGCTCCAAAAATCCAGCCTAAAAATCAAAGACACCCAACAACCTTTTGTGTGACCAAGTCTGCCTAAAATTGGCATTGCCTGTAACATTCCTCTTAATTCAGAAACCCCTTTCCCTGCCTGGAGGAGGTGAAATGAGGTTGATCCTTGATAACATTGGTCAGATGCAGCTCTTTCCTGAGCCTCATGTTTATCCCCAGAGTCAGGACTGCATGAAGCAATCCCAGAAGGAGCAGCAGAGCCAGAGACATCAAGTAAGGCGAACTGAACATGAGATGTCCATACAGGTGGAGGCTGCTGCACCCACCCCTGGACATATTTTCAAGTTAAGATGAGCAGAGCCAAGAAAATCAGCTCCACTCTTACAGGATATTTGCACAACCTCTCCTGGCTGCACTGCACAAAGGGATCTGGAGGTCACCCTTTGGATCACCAATATATGTTTCCCTGAGGCCTCCTGAGACCAAACAAGAAAAACATGGAAAATCACCATGAATGCTTTCCTTTTTGACTCTGTGGATCATTTTGGAGCGAGATCCTCTCTTCCAGGGGTGTAAAAAGAGAAGGCTACAGCTAAGAAGATGGTTGGGAAATGGGAGAGAATAGACCCAAACCCAACAGCATCGTGTACCAAGGCCTCTTCCAGCAGAACCTTCCAGAAAAAGATTTAACAACGCCCCTACTGCCCCCCACTACTCTTCAGACTTCAAATGCATTGGCCAAAATCCTGTTGCCAGAGGAATCCCCCTGGCTGTGTCATGGTTGTGCCATCCCATCCCCTATTTCCGCAGCCGAGCGTACACAGCGAATGCCACGGCAGAAATGAGGCCGACAGCTGGAAGGATGTACAGCAGGGACAGGCCATTGCTGTCCCTCTTTGGGACTCTGGCCTGAGGTGAGCTGGTGGCAGCATCACGGCCACTGCCAGAGCTGGAATTCATGGAGCTTCCGAGGGGACTGACTCCATCGCTGCCGGCTCCGGGCTGGATGCTGGGGTGATGTTCCACATGGACATCATGGGTGCCCAGGGAGGTGCTGTTCCAGCTCGGAGCAGGACAGGAGTCTCTGCTTACTCCAGATGCCTCCTTTGCTCTGGGGTTTTCAGGAGCCGAGGAGACTCTGGGGAACGCTCCTCCTGAGCTCAGGCTATCCCTGCTCACCAGGATTGGGTCGCTGCTGAGGCCAAGGCTACTGGAGGTGGTGGAACAGGGCTTGCTGGGCTCCCGAGAGCTTGGGGATCTGCCAGCCACCTCTGGGCCACCCCGAGGCATGGACACGAGGACACCCGGCTTGCTGAGCTCCTCTTCCTTCTCCTCATCACCGGGAGATGCCCAGATGCTCGTGGCAGAGCTCACCCGGGAAGCCGATCTCCCAGCCACGCCTTCAGAGCCTCCTACCACAGCTGTGCCCAGGACAGGGTTTGCAGAGGCTGGGAGCACCTTTAGGAGACAAGGACAGGGGCTGGGTGTCAAGGGAAGCACCCAATGGCCTGGTCTGGGCACACAGGTTCCACATAAACCAACTTCAATACAGTCCCCACATCTGCCACTAACAAGGTTGGGTCACAGGTAACAGGGAGGGGAGGGAGGGAGGCAGGCAGGAAGGAAGGGGAGCTAGGCAGTGAGAAGAGCAGTGGAAAACAGCAGCAGGAAGCCAGGAGACTGACTGGCAAGGCAAGGAGGAAAAATAAGGAGTCAAAGCCCAAAAGAGCTTGGCTCCGTTCTCCCATGCTCCATCATACAGTGTGTGGATGGCAACGTGAACACTACAGCGGTGGGAAAAAAATCCCTGAATAAAGTCATCGCCAGCTCACAGTGTGACATTGCAACAGAAAAAAACAGGGGGAGTGCACAAGGACATGAAGGAAATGCAAGTGGCAAGAAGAAAGGTCACCTACTTTCTCCTTTGCTGGCACAGACGGGGTGCTGCTGGCTGTATTCCCAATGGGCAGTTTCTTCTCTTGCGTAAGAGACTTCACAGAGGAGTCACGGGATGGGAAAGTGTCTCTGGGCACAGGGGTAGCACCCAGGGCAGTTGAAGCTCCTGTCAGGTACAAAACAAAGCACTTTGTGTTAACAAGGGGGCCTAAAAGGTGAGATTTGCTCTTCTTCAAGGAAGCTGTGACAGGACAGTCCCCAACCTGGGAGGGTGGCACAGGGAGCACGAGCCAGTGCCCTGGCACTTGCGCTGCTGTGGCACCCAAGCTTTCCCTGCGGCTGCAGGTAACTCATGCAGGGTGGGCTACAGGGCTGGGGAGCACCAAGGGAAACAGAGGCTTTTAAGGCTCCTGAAACTCCATGTCCTCCCTGCTAGGAGGTGCTGACCCGACATGGCAGAGGGGAAAGGGCTGGGAGGGATAGGTGTCTCTTTTCCCACCCCGAGACCCTGGAGTGGAGGTCAGGGCTTTATCCTGTTTCTATGATGCCCACAGAACGATGTAGGAGATGCTAAAATTCCCCTACATGCAGGATACAAACATCTCTGCAAACTATGGGAAGGGGAGAAGTTTCACGCCTCAAAGCTGCTCCACTGACAAAGAAAAATTAAAATGCAAGTGGATGAAATGATCGTTTTAAGTTCCTTCCAAACTAAACTCTACTCCTATTCCATTCCATTCCATTCCATTCCATTCCATTCCATTCCATTCCATTCCATTCATTCTCCCAGCACTGCCAAGGCCACCACTAAACCATGCCCCCAAGTGCCACATCCCAACGACTTCTAAATCCCTCCAGGGATGGTGACCACCACTGGCCTGAACAACTTTTTCCAGAGCTTGACAGCCTCTTCCAAAAAGAAATTTTCCCTACTATCCAATCTAAACCTCCCATGACACAATTTTCCTCTTATCCTGTTGCTTGTTACCTGTCAGCAGATCCAAATCCCCACCTTCCTCCACCCTCCTGTCAGGGAGTTGTAGAACAAGAAGGTCTCCCTGAACTTCCTTTTCTCCAGACTGAGTTCTCCCAGCTTCCTGAGCTGCTCCTCATCAGACTTATGCTCTAGAGCCCTCCCTTCTCTGGACACTCTCCAGCATCCCAATTTCTTTCTTGCAGTGAGGGGCTCTCAGCAGCACTTCCTGCTCCCTAGTGCCTACCTGGTTCTTCCAGGAGGGAAACCCACCTCCACTCCCTGGGTGCTCTTGCTGCATCCCGACCCGCTTCTTCTCTGCATCAAACTGCTCCTGTATGAGGAGGGGGCTGCGCACATCCACGAAGCTGTCTGTGGGCTCACCATGCCCAGAGCTTGGCACAGGCTGCTTTTTTGGCACTGAGTTTGGGGGCTGCTGCCCCACACCCTGAGCACCCTCCTCCAGCCTTGGTAGTGACTCTGTGGAGATTTCCGAGTTCTCTTCGGGCTCGTTCCTGGGCTGCCCGGGGCTGTGAGTGGCACCTGCATCCCTTGATGGAACGGACCTGCCCAGGGTCAGGCCCGGCGTGCCACGGTGCAGGTGGTTGGCATTCCCAAAAAACCCATTGTCCACACACACCGGCCGGCGGCTCAGCCAGTCCCGGCCCTGCTCTGGGGACACAGCTGATGGCACGGCCACCTCTGGTGTCCCCACTGACACCGGCACAGCCCCGGTGGGGTGTGGCAGATTCCCCTCTCCACTGTGCCCGCTGCTCACTCCGCCATGGACTTTGCTCCCAGGTGGAATTGGCCGGGGACTCTCTTGCTCCAGTAGTTTTTTGGGGAGCTGGAAGGAAATGAGTTGTGTTAAATCACTGGGATGAGGGGGGTCTGGGACCACGGGCGTGTCCCAAACCCTGAGCAGTGACCCCCGCAAGGCTGGTTATGAAGGGGATTTGCAGTCTCTCCTTGGGACCCATCCAAGGGTCAGGGGTCGTGGAGAGAAGCCTGGACTGGCAAAACAGACCCTGCACTTCCCCCATGAAGGGGGACAGGAGAGAGAACAGTTCCAGGGCCATGTACAAGCTGCAGTTTACCAGATGCAGCAGAGATCAGCAGTGAGCAGCTGCTCGGGGCAGTCCTGAAGGAGCCTGGCTCTACTGCAGGCTCCCCATACCCAGTCCAAAGGGACCTTTGTGTCCCTATCCAACGCGTGCCCTGCTCACCGATTCCTGCACTGGCACTCTGGCCTCCAGGTCCGTGCTCGTGGTGGTGGCAGCACCGGGCAGGACAGGTGGATGGTCACCAATGGGCAGGTCTTGGCGTGGCTGCCCAGCCAACGGGGCAGGATTTGGCCCCCGGGGTGGTGTCTGGACACTGGTGGAGGAGGCAGCAGGACGGACATCACTGGGAAGGGAGGAGGCAGCAGCAGGAGCTGAGGAACCTGAAAGAGACAAGCAGATCTTTGTGGGAAAAACTGAGGAAGCAGAAGATAAGTGTGGGGCTGAGGCAGCCCTGTGTGTGTCCCTGCTCTGTCCCCACATCAGCCAAGCTCCCTTTGTTCACCCTTCCATCTTCCCTCAGGTGAGAACCCCAGCCCACCACCAACCCAAGCACCTTCAAACATGGAGCCATCATCTTCAGACACGTCACCACAGTGAAGGACATCCCTGGGAAGCCAAGACAGGGACAGAGACGACTTCATGTCCCCACCTCCAGCACCCCACAGGCCACACCCAGAGACGATGAGGCTACATACGAGGTCGATATTGCCAGGCGTCATAGACTTCCTGTAGCTCATCAGCCAAGTGCCCCGCGTTGTTCTGGTGCAGCGCCTGGATGAGATCCTGCACCCAGCCCCTCCGGCACCTCAGGTGCTGATAAAACCTAAAGACAGCTGCCTGGTTGCCCCGTGTCTCCTCCCGGGCCAGGAGTTCATCCTAGGAAAAACACACAGGGCGTCTAAGAGAGGGTCTGGCTTAGAGGTAAGACAGCTCTATGTTGCCATTGGGGAAGGAGCCTGGTAGAGCTCAGCAAAATATGGCATTACTCTGTCAGAATCGACCAGGCAGGTCAGGGAATCGGCCAGCGACGCCACTCGGATAGTCCCGAATTTCTTGAGGTTTCTCGTAATATGGGTGTACACTTTGTCTTCAGCTAAACCCATCCTGACTCAGCACCTGCACAGAGACAGAGATCTGGGGTGAGCAGAGGCCGCTGGTGAAGCTCAGGCTGTCTCCAGAAGCTCGGACTGTTCCATAGGCACCCGTGGCCCGGCACAGACACTGCCATGAGACAGGGGAAATCCCAGGCGGAAAACACGCACAGAGGAGACGTTTGGGTTAAAGTTCAACGCCCAGCTTCCCTTCCACAAACCTCACTTCTTTCTACTATCGCCCACCCCGTGTTTATTCCCACTTTGCTTGTTTGGATTCAGCCGGCGGGTTTTGGGCCGGCCTGGCGGCAGGGTCACGACAGCCGACAGGGAAAAACGGGCGACAGGGCCAAGCAAGCGCCAGGGGCCACGGCTGTAATGCCGCATAAGCAATGGAAAAAACAAAACAGAAAGCATAGGGCTCTTTCCCACAGGGAATGGCGGCCCGCAGGCCGCGACGTGGATCTGCACGTCCTCACGGCGGGGCCCCCCCCCCGCCCTCAGCGCGACCTTCAGCCCCCGGGAGAGCTCCGGGAGGTTCTCCGCTCGCAGATCCCCATGGCAGAGCGGCCGGAGGGTGCGGCCGGGGCTGTGGCGGCCACGGGGTTCAATGCGGCCGCGGTGCCCCTTCCCCGCTGCCCTCACGGCCCCTCAGGGCCCCTCACCTGCTCCCGCCGCCGCCTCGCGCCCGGCACCGCTATGACCCCGCCCCCTCGTGTCGCGACAGTCGCTGATTGGCTGTGGCGCACGCCAGACACGATGATTGACAGGGGGTGTGTCCGGTTCCGGGTCCCTCCGGACAGCGGGGACGTGGGGATCCTGAGGGGGGACACGAAGATCATGGAGCGGGGACATGGGAGCCCTGGAGCGGGGACTAGGAGATTCTGGAGGGGGGACACGGGGATGCTGAAGGGGGGACACGGGGATTTTGGAGCGGGGACACAGGGATCCTGGAGCGGGGACACAGGGATCCTGGAGCGCGTCCAGTTGGTGTAAGGGGACAGGAGCATCTCTCCTGTGAGGACACACTGCGGGAGCGGGGCTGCTTAGTCTGGAGAAGACTGGGAGCGCATCTCATCAATCCATTTAAATATCTCCAAGGGGAGTGGGGTGTCACAGGATGGTGCCAGGCTCTTTCCAGTAGTGCCCAGTGACAGGACAAGGACTAAAGGCTACCAACTAAAACACAAAAAGTTTCACCTCAACATGAGGAAGAATTTCTTTATGTTGAGGGTGGCAGAACACTGGAACAGCTGCCCAGGGAGGCCATGGAGTCTCCCTCTCTGGGGACATTCCAAACCCACCTGGACACATTCCTGTGTCACCTGCTCCAGGTGACACTGCCTTGACAGGGGGTTGGACTGGATGATCTCCAGTCCCTTTGAACCTCAGTATTCTGTGATTCTGGGAGCTGGACCTGTTCAGCCTCGAGAGCAGACATCTGAGAGGGGAGGGACCTCATTAATATGTATAAATATCTAATAGAGATGTGCCAAGAGGATGGACTGGGCTCTGCTCCGTGGTTCCCAAAAATGGGACAAGAGGTAAAAGGCAGAAAATGATGGAAAAATCCATCTGGATATGACGAACATGTTCTTTCATGTGAGCACTGGCACAGTTTGTCCAGAAAAGCTGTGGCTGTCTCATCCCTGGAAGTGTCCAAGGCCACAGGTGATTGGAGTAACCTGGGATAGTGGAAAGTTGTCCCTGCCCGTGGCAGACAGTGGAATTAGATGGTCTTTAAGGTCACTTCCAACCCAAACCATTCTGTGATTATAATTAATTGAAGCCAGCTTTATATAATTCTAAATTATAAAAAAGGATCATATTTCTGGGTTGTTTCTAATTAAGACGAGATCTTTGTGGTGATCAAAACTTACCTTATGAAGAAAAAAAAAAAAAAGCCACTCAGTTGCGTCCAATAACTTCTGTTCGCAGAATCATTGAATCAGAGAACATAGAATCACAGAATCACAGGATCATAGAATCATAGAATGTTAAAGGTATGGAAGGAATTTTTTAAAAATCATCCCAAACTGCCCTGCCACAGGCAGGGACAATCCCCATTAGACCAAGTTGTTCAAGGCCTTATCCAACCTGGCTTTGAAAACTTCCAGCGTTGGGGCATCCACAGCTTCCCTGGGCAACCTGTTCCTGTTCTCACTGCCGTCACAACAAAAAATTTCCTCTTAATATCCAATATAATTCCCTTTCTTTCAACTTGTTCACGTTACTCCTTATCCCGTCTCCGCAGCTCCTTCCTAAGAGTCCCTCTCCGGCTTTCCTGTAGTATCCCACCAAAACCTTTTTATTTCGAATTAATTTCCCACTCGGGAATTTTGGGAATCGGGAGCGGCGATGGGGCGCGGTGCCGCCTCCGCGCCACCAGGGGGCGGCACCGCCACGCTCCGGGGGCCGGCGTGGCCCCGCCCCTCGGCCACGCCCATGGGCACGCCCCGGCCACGCCCCCGGCCCGGAGCCGCACGATGGCGGCGGCAGCGGGCGGGCGGCGGCGGCGGCGCCGCTGAGCGCCGGGAGAGCCCCGAGGGGCGGCGGGGGCTTCCCGCACCCCTTCCCCTTCCCTCATATCCCCCTCCCCTTTTCCCCCTGACCCCCCCCTCCCCGCGCCCTTCCCCGCTGCGCCGTCCATGGTTACGGGCGGCCGCCGCGGCCTCGCAGCGGAGCCGTTTGGGCGGGAGCCGGCGAGGGAGCAGCGGCCGCAGGTGAGCGGGGACGGCGTCGCAGGTGACCCCCGGGGCGAGGCACGGGGTTGTTACGGTGGCGTGGGGGTGATGGAAGGGGCGAGGGGCGCGACCCACGCGTGTCCGTGGAGTTGGGTCACCCCCAGGCTGCGCACGCTGAACTTGGGGTTTAGTATTTGCGTATTTGTAGGTGTATTTGTTAGCGATAGTGGTGATTTCTAAAAGTGATCGCGGGCTGCGGCTCTTGGATTTGCTCCCTTGGAGCCAGTCCAGAGGAGGCCACCAAGTTGATGAGAGGGATGCAGCACCTCTCCTGCGAGGAAAGGCTGGGAGAACTGGGATTGTCCAGCCTAGAGAAGAGAAGGATCCGGGGAGACCTAATGGGAGCCTCTCAGTACTTGTAGGGAGCCCGCAAGAAAAATGGAGAGAGACTTTTTACAAGGACCTGGGGTGGCAGGATAAGGGGGAATGGCCTCACACTGAAAGAGAGTGCGGTTAGATTAGATATTAGGAAGAAATTCTTCCCTGCGAGGGTGGGGAGGCCCTGGCACAGGTTGTTCAGAGAAGCTGTGGCTGCCCCTGGATCCCTGGAGGTGTTTAATGCCAGGTTGGATGGGGCTCTGAGCAACCTGTGGGAGAGGATGGAGCAAGATAGGCTTTAAGGTCCCTTCCAACTCAAACCATTCCATGATTCTGAGCTTCCATCTGTGGGTCTGCAGCGACCCACAGGGTTGGACACGGAGGTCCAAGCTGGGGACACCCCTCCAAGACCCAGAAAACAGCTGCAGGGCCACCATGGCCACAATCTCCTGCCACCACCCAGCACCGCCCTGCTGCAGGATGGCCAGGCTCCCTGCGCACCTGTACTCTGCACCCTGGGGCTTCTGGTCAGTGAGGAACCCTCCTGACCCACGGTCTCACCACACCCCCTTGGATCCAGGCCGTGCCAGTGGCCAAAGGCTGATTTTGGGACCGATATTCCAGCGTGGGGGGCTTGTGACCCGGCTGCTCCCTGTGCCATCTCTCCGGGAGATGCTCCAGGCTGGAGCATTGGAAGGGACACCCTCCTTGCTGTGGGATCCAAGGGCTCTGTCCTTTCCTTCAGGGCTCTTTCCTCTCCTCGAAGGGTGTGTCCCCTCCTCGCCACTGCCTCCGCGCATCCCAAACGGGAATCCCAAATGGGAATGTCCGTGCTGCCCCTCTCCAAGCTCTCCCACGCTCGGGTAGCTGCATCCTCCCTCCTCGGCCAGCGCTTGCTTGTTTCTGATCTTGGATGTCATCGAGGGTGGAAAATGTGACAGGAAGGAAGGGAGGCTTTTTTTCCCTCCTGCTAAATATGGACTGACATTAAAATCCAAATACTGTCGCGAAAGGAATCCCAACCTCTGTTTGTCGAGGGAGAGAAAACGATCTTTTCTGGCTTTTCGATTCCAGCTGGGAAGTTTCGCAAGGAGTGGTGGAGTCCTTGCCGGGAGCCTCAGGAATTTACTGAGCTTGTTCACAGGACGCTCTCTGCAGCGTCTTACGCTAAAAAAAATTAGTCATCCCTTCTCTGCCTGCCCGTGGCTGGGGGGAGCTTGCTGCGAGCATGCAGGATGCTTGGAAATATTTAAGGATTTTTTCCTCCTGTACAAGGAGTTCTAGAAACGACAGGAAATAAAACTGCGGCCCCAACAGGAGTTTTTCATCTTTATTTTAATTCCTGTTGCTGCAGCAGCCAGTGGCAGGGAGGGGAAGGATGTGCTCGGGGAGGGCTGCAGCCAGGTTTGCAGGGAGGAGTTCTCTGTGTCAAGCATCAGATGCAAACTCATGCTGTTATTCCCAGAGAGATTGGGAAACAGGCTTGGTGTGGAGCTCGGGGAGGAGGAATGGGATCACAGGGATGGTCATGGCTCTGCCAGCTCCCTGATGGCTTCTGCTGTGGTCAGGGTGAAGAGCCAGGGTGCTATTTGGGGAGCAGAGACCACAGCTCCCCTAGGACTTGGGGGTGCTGGGCAGAAAGTGGGCACTGCCACCCTCCCATTCCACGTTTCTTTCCATCCCCGTTGGAATTCAGAAAGCTGTCCTCCAGCTTTCTGGGGCAGTGCCTGCAGGAAGCTCCAGGGGTTTTGCCTGATCTTTATTACAACAATTGGTTTAAGCAACTGGTTGGTTGCAGTTGGCTGAAGGTGGTGGAGTCCCCATCCCTGGAGGTGTCCGAGGAACAACTGAATGTGGCACTCAGTGCTCTGCTCTGGTGACAAGGTGGGGATTGGTCACAGGTTGGACTTGTGATGTCTTGGACGTCTTTTCCAACCTAAATGACTCTGGGATTCTGTGAAAGCACCTGGGAGGTGCTAGAATAGATATTTCCCGTTTCCAGGGCACTGGTGCTGCTGTGTTGTTCCCGGACTAAGGAGACACAGCCCTGCCTTCCTGAAACATCCCTCACAAATAACTGTATCTCTGTGCTGCTCAGTGATACTGGTCCACGTCCAACATCAACATCCTCCTGGAAGAGTGGTTTGAATTCCCTCTCTCTCTGCCTCCTCCTGCTGCCAGCCTACATCTGTTCTGCTCCAGCCCTCTGTGTTTCCAGCAGCGTGGTGGATCCCAGTCCAGTGGGGAGGGCACAGGTTGTGTGACCTCTGCTGTGCTTGGCTGAGCCAGTGTCACTGTCATGGTCTGTGTGATGCCTCAAAACACTGGGGAGTGTGGGATGGGATATTTTGTGTAGAACAGGGCACTTGTAGTGCTTCCATAGGGTCAGGAGTGGCACCAGCTGCTGCCTGGTCCTCCCCTGCTGGTGTGACACAGGCAGGAGCTCGGTCATCCCTGGCAGCTGCTCTCTGGGCTCATTCATGAATCGCATTTTCCTCTGGAAATAAAACAAATCCCCGGGCTTTCCTCTCACGGTGGAAGTCGTTTGAAGCCAACCAGATCTGTAAGTGTCCCCAAAGCCTTGGGACAGGAAGAGACACTTGAGCAGAGAGGTAGGAAATGTCCGCATTTAGAGCAGTGGCTGATTCATCTCCTGCTCTTAACTCTTTCCCTCCTGGTTTTAGTGGGATCCAGCTGGTTTGTTTCAAGGCTCAGAGCCCAAGGAGGCTCTGGCTGGATCACAGAATACTGCTGGGTTTTATATATGGTGTTTATGTGGTTTGGGGTGGAAGAGGAGTGGGGCGTGTGGTTATCTGAACTGGATAACCGGAACGTCGGCACTCACATTAGGGAGGATTAATATTTAATATATAGGCTATGAACCATTGTGCTTAATCACTATCTGAAGGGCTTAGGAAGAGATTTAGCGATAAGCAAGTGATTCCTGAGCTGTCCAGAATGATTTCTTGCATCTTCCTCTGGAGCAGCTGGTCCTGGATCTCGCTAGAGGCTGGTTTGATCCTGTTCTTCCTGATGTCTCCAGGTTTTGTGAGTGGGTAGAGTGGCTTGCATCACGAGTGTTCACTTCTCATTAAACTCACAAATACTCTGGAAACCCTTTTTCTCTGATGCAGCTCACATGGCTGTACTGTCAGCTGTCGTACCTGTCAGCACTTCAAACTTCTGTGTGTGGCCAAAGCTCATGGGAAATATGTTGTGGGATTCGTGGACATTGTCACTGTCACATATATCTGCCCAGACACTAGTGCAGAGGCAGCTCCTTCATTCTGTTGTCTGTCTGACCTCTTTTGGAGGCCTTTCATGTCATCTCTAGGCTCCCACCATGGTCCTGGAGCTGCCCATGAGAGCAGTGCTGCTTTCCACAGCTGCTCCATGTTGCCTTACGTGGGTTTTTTTCTGCAGCATGAGGGATTTTGTAGCACAGCAAGGTGGAAATCCCCTCTGGGAAGGGGCTCGCTGTGTTTGTGCAGGGAGGAGGTGATGGTGGGGAGTGCTGTGTCCAAGGCTGGGGTCCTCAGCACAACAAGGACTTAGAGTGACTCCAGAAGAAGCAATAAAGATGTCCTGAGGGCTGGAACCCCTCTGCTCTGGAGCCAGGCTGAGAGAGCTGGGGGTGCTCACCTGGAGAAGAGAAGGCTCCAGGGAGAGCTCAGAGACCTTCCGGGACCTAAGGAGGCTTCAGGGGAGTTCGAGAAGACTTAGGATGGAGGGACAGGACACAGGGAATGGCTTCCCACTGCCAGAGGGCAGGGTTAGATGGGATATTGGGAAGGAATTTTTTGCCTGTGAGGATGGTGAGGCCCTGGCACAGGGTGCCCAGAGAAGCTGTGGCTGCTCCATCTCTGAAAATGTTCAAGCCAGGTTGGACAGGACTTGGAGCAGCCTGGGCTGGTGGAAGGTGTCCCTGCCCATGGCTGGGGGTTGGAGCTGGATGCTCTTTCAGTTCCCTTCCAACCCAACCCAAACCACGCTGTGATTCCATGATTCTATGCCAAGGCATTCAAATAATGCATCTCCACAGCCACATGTCCTGCAGGTTTGAGGGTTGTGTGTCCATGGAGGGAAACCCTCCTTTAGGCTGCAGGAGGGTGTGTGCCTGCACCTCCCTCCCTCCCTGCCCCAAATCAGAGCTCTCCTGGCTGAAAGCATCAGCCACAGCTGTCAAACCCACCGTGCTGTGGTTGCTCCTGTGGGCCCTCTGTGTTTATGGCAGCTGCAGTTTTGATGGTGGCAGTCAAAACGCCTGAGTGTGGGTTGGGTTTTGGCACATTGGTCATGCAGAAAATCCTGGTGTCTACTGTAACAGGTATGGAGGTTGGAAATCTTTATAAAATTGGGACTACTTTTTTTTCCCCCAAAAGGACCTGTGGAAGAATTATAGAAACAGGGAATGGTTTGGGTTGGAAGGGACCTTAAAGCTCATCTCCTTCCAACCCCCTGCCGTGGGCAGGGACACCTCTCACTAGCCCAGGTTGCTCCAAGCCCTGTCCAACCTGGCCTTGAGAATGTTCCTTTTGTTCTCTGTGCAAACAGATCACTTGCTTAGGCAGCAGCAACTCTTTATTCCAGGATAATTTGTTGTCCTAATTCCTTCCTGTTGAAGCAACTCCATTTTGCATGGAATAATTAGCACTAATTTG